CTGCATGGAAGTACACCGGAGCAGCACTTATTCAATGAGCAGCAGACTAAATATAACCAAAAAACTGCACGAGGAGTCCACATATTCTTGCGTTGTCAGACATGAGTCATCCGAAATGCCCCTTGAAAGCAGTATAAAGGATGTGTTTGTGAGCGTTTATTATACATCAAGCAGGACTGCAGATCAATGATGTTATTCTTTATACTGTAGTGAAACTCTATTGTGCCCAATCATTTGTACTGGAGGCTTCCTTGGTATCTCATGCCTTTTATAACTTGTGATGAATTACACAGTGTCTAGCACTCCAAACATTTGGTTGAAAATAGAAATTTTAGTACTAAGGAACAGAACCTGGGTTTAAAGTATATTATGTAACTTTCAAACCAGTAGATGTCACACTTTAGCACCAGTCTCTCAGACAAAAATCAAACTTCCTCAGTGCACTACCTTCCCTCCTCCCACCACCCTTTAATGTTTTGACTCTCTCTTAATAAGACTCTCTCTCTCTGTATTGATGTGCAAGCCCAAAGATTATTCTTTTTTATTATTCTTTTAAGTATTAAGAAAGCTTGTTCTTCAGTTCAGAAAATATGTTGGATGTCCTTTAGTTGTACTTTGCAATGACACTTCACCATTATGCCTCTACATACTGCTTCTGGGCAGGCTAACAGTTGGAGAGGGACGGGTACGTGTAAAAAAACATTTATGAAACATGTTTGAGCCTCTGAGTTACACAAACAAGCTGAAGGACGCACAGTCCTGTCCGTTTGAACACAGAGCTCAGGACAACAAACCCAGATCAAGTTTGACTTCACTCGTTTTCAGAAAGTAATTACTAAACTGATATGTGCTCCAGGGTGCTGGTCGCCTTGGCTGGTGGAGCGGGTGCCACATGTACAGAGGCTTTTATCCTTGACACATCAGTCATAGGTTCTTGTCCCTCCCCATCCCTTTGTACATATCTACCCCACCCTCTCCTCCCCACGTTTTCCATCTATCTTCAGCTGTCCTATCAATAAAGAAGAAAATGCCAGAAAAAAAAAACATTTATAAAATCAATACTTTAATCCACTTCAGTGGAACAATCTGTAGTGTCTGCTGAATCTACAAAAAAAAATAAGCAAGCTTGTCCTGGTGAAGCAATTCAAATCTGATTTAAACTACTTACTGCAATATGAATTAATGTGTTTCTATAAAAATATAAAATACCTTTCCATGTAACCTTCAGCTGAGGTGAAACTGTAACTGTTGTGTACTTTATCAGTTGATAATTATTGTCATTTTGGTCACAGTTAGTTGTATAGTTATTTATTAACAAATCTCCTTTCGTTTCTTTCACAGACGTATTGAAGAGCTGTGATTTTTTGGATAATATTATGTATGCTGAAAGGATCCAAGACAAAGATGAGGAAGGCTGGTTTATGGCTTTCACATTTCTCTTTTTTCCTCATCTCTATCGTCTATGGTGTCCTTGCAACCCTGTTTAAGGTAAGCAACAGCAGTTTAGTAGTTTTGGCTGTGTCCGAAATCACACACTCATTCCGACTCCCTACTCATACATAGTGTCGCGCAACTAAAACGTGCAGCTTAACTCTGGCCGAGGATCAATAATAATGGAAAATAACGTCATGAATTTTAGTAATAACTTTTTATAAATGGTAAATGGACTTGAGTTTATATAGCGCTTTTACACTGCATGTCACACCCATTCACACACTGATGGTAGTCACTATGTAGTATCATCCATCAGAAGCAACTAATCCCATTCATACACCGCCACCGAAGCAGCAATCGGGTTAAGGGTCTTGAACAAGGACACATCGGACATGTTGCCCAGCTGAGGATCAAACCCTTGACCTTCTGGTTGAGAGGCGATGACTCTACCAACTGAGCCACCGTATTATACTGAGTGTATTTTCACAAAACAGCCATAAATAATGAATAATTATAAAATATAGAATTTTTGATATAATGAAACATTATTGCACCAAAACTAATTTATTTGTGTATCTGTGCACTACTTTGCAATGCATTGTGGGATACAATGAGTGGACTATATAAAGGTATGATCATGCTCACTTAGAATTCGGACCACAAAAATGGCATGTTCACGAGTGAATTTGGGAGTGATTTCGGACACAGCCTTGGTGTTTAGATTTCATCTTCTAGCAGAGTATTTCATATCTCTTGAGTTATCGAGACATCTCTGAATTTTTTTAATGATTACTCCAGTAATTTTAAGTGTTTTGGGAGTTTAAATTGAAGTCTTTTACTAAAATAAAAAAATTCCCACATCTATAACCATTAAACCCTTTTTTTCCCATTTAGACTAAATGATGGCGATCACAGGAACAGATCAACTTTCAAGATCAAAAAGTGAACTTCTGGAGATTTTTGATTGTATCTGGTCTTGTTAATCTTTAAATGGGATAAGAAATGCTCCCATCATTATGTTCCTTTCAACTGTTTTACATCTTGTTACTTTTCTACATGCCAATTCTTTTGAGATTATGCCACCAATGTCATGAAAAAAAATCCTGTATCCTGTATCATTGTGCATTGAGAAAATAAATATTCATAAATTGGAAACAAAGATTGCCAGTAATTGCTTGATTTTATTATAAGAAATGTTTTATATGTAATAATGTTCCCTGATGATAGGCTTATTATGCTATAGTATATTTCTCTTACATTATCGGCATCCCAGTAATTCTCAGATTGTCCACAAGAGTGAGACATAGCTCCACATACAGAAGTAGTGGGTTGTTCCTGTATGTGCAACGCAAGTTGTGAAGTCATTTCAAGATACTTCCGCTCTGAGCTGGACTGAATAAATGCTATGACACAGGAGTACATTCACTTGAAAAACAGAGACTTTTTTGTTACCCTTCCTGTACATACATTATTTTCAATGTGTGCACACTCTGTCTTTGAGTTACAACTGCATGTCTGTGTCTGCATTTGTGTACCTTTGGGTCTAAAGGAATTCACATCTGGGAGGGATGACACTAAGCACACCAAGGCTTACTATTGGCTACCTCTAGAGTGATCTGGCACTGTGTGTGCCCTGATTGGCTGGGGAACCCATGGCTCCCAGCCCAAATCTATGACGCTGTTGCTGGATGGAGTCCCTCCATGCTGCTGCCAGTCTAAGTGCCAAGGGACCAGCTACAGGAAAGCAGGACACCATGCCCAGCAGGCTGTCTTAAGAGTGTCTCCCTGTCTAACACCGCCATTCCCTTCCATCCTCTAATGCCAAGCCCCTCCCTCTGGATCCTTGCTTGACCCTTTGCAGTGTCAACATAAACCAGGGACAAGTAACAACCAAACATCCTCACACATATAGGAGAAATATTCTTCCTACAACTACTCATGAGGCACCATTGAGCAAGGTACTCAACCACAAACTGCCCAGTGGCCGTCAGCAGAGGGCTGTGGTTGTAGCGAGCAGCCCCCAGCCTCACATGCTAAATGTAAAGTAGTGGAGTTCTGAATACAACATGTACCCTATATCAGCTTTTCCTGGAAATAAAGATTGATCTTGATGTCTTACCCTAACTTAGTGCAATTAGGAGAAGAAGTGTTGAGCATTCAGATACAATGTGCCTGTAACATTTTATTATTTATTACTTTATTAGAGAGATATTAAAGACAAAGAATTGATTAAGAGTCATAAAAGAAAAATGTTGAGTGATAAAGCAGGGCTTACAAGAAGAGTACACCCTGGTCAGACACCAATCCTGAATGTATCCTCATTGTCATAAACATGTAGACAATGCTAAAATAAATGGCTTTAGTAGCTATGTGTTGTTGGCTTCTAAATATTGGATGTTATTTAATGTGGCAGCAAATGAATTTACCAAACATGCACGTACATTAGCTGTTTAAGACTAAGCTAGGAAAGTGAATGATACTAAAATAGACCAACCTTGTTCCACTGTCGATGGTGAACACATCACAGAAGGTGAGACTGGAGTCTGCAAGAAATGTCTTGGAAAAGTTGGCGACCTGCAAAAGAAAACAATGCTAATCAAAAATACACCCACTGCATGGAGTAGTCAGAATTCAAAGAGTCTCTGGACAAAATATTGTGGCAGCAACACTGTGAAACTTTAAATCTAAAATCTAAAAACAAAGCTGTATTCACCGGTCCAAACAATCTGACTCGACAACTAAGTGAATACATATGCATTACATATCAAATTAATGATAGCTGTTAGATTTAATTGCCCCAGTGAGCCTGTACGCTGTCATTAAAAGAACCCCTGCTATTTCTTTACTTTGTAGTGTGTTTTTTTCATTTCTCAGGTGCTTATTGAAATAAAAACATAGGTCATAGAGAGTGTTGTAGTCAAGACCACACTAACCAAGACCAAGACATTTAAGGATGGAAACCGAGTCAAGACTAAGACCAGGCAGGGCCAGACCGAGACAAGACCAAGACCATAAATATGAATGAAAAATCATTATCTTGTGTGCAGAGGGCTTGTCACTCATTTAGACCGTAACACCGGGTAGGTTGCAGCTGTAACCGGGGAAAATAAAACTACAACTGATCTGAAGTTATTTGTTCATAAGAGGTGTTTTCCTTCTAATCACAGTAATGACTTGGAAAGATAGCCTGTCAGTGGTGTTCTGGACCAGTCTTGATTTAAAATCCAGAGTCTGCCCAGTCTGGGACCGAGACAAGACCGAGTAAAAATGCTTTCATTTCATTACATTTTTTCAACATACCCCACGTCAACAAAGGCATAGTAAAAGAGACAACCCAAATGTGTGATTCATAGAACTGTGACAGCTATAACATCTTGATTTAAAAACAAATCTAAAATGTTTTTGTACTTGCACAAAACATTTGGATTACATATAAGTATTGCCTGAGTATTCATTGAAAAACTTGCTTGTGTCTTTTCTTCCTCTCCATCTTTGTTGAAAATACTGAACAAGAGTGTCAAGTATTTTACTGCCACCAAGCAACGGATGTATTTTCTTGCACTCAGTGTGTCACTGAATTGTATTTGTGGAAAAATACATTCCATGAGTGACCTTTGTTGTTTGCTTTTTCCCAGAGTGGATCTAACCAAGTTCACTCCCGTATTTATGACAATGGAATCAAAGTCTACATCTGCAGGAATACCTCAAGTTATTTTGATAAATTAATGAAACAGCTATTATGAAGTCTTCACTCCAAGCGCACTCTCTGGACGTCTGCAGAAAGTTTGCTTTAGGCCCGCCGTAGAAAGATGATTTGCACGCTTGGATAGACCCCCCAGGCACTCGAGAACGTACATACAGTACAAAGTCTGCAAGTCAGCAAGCATTGGTTGAAATTGGACATTTAACTTTTAATCATGGAACATCACCTGGACAGTAAAGCACTGTCATGTTTTCATCAACATCATTGGGTCTACAACCACATGGCCATTGTAAACTGAAGAAGTCTAAGAGGAATTTACGAGACAGAGAACAGATAAATGTAATTCAGGCTTACAAAAGATATTGAAAACAAAAATGTCTATGCCAGCATGGGCTACTTGCTAACAACCTGCCATGTGTCTTGGCCTGTGAACTGATTTTGTTGTTTTTTCGAGAGCTTAGCTGCGATTACGTATTTTTTTGTACTGGCTATAGTTCTACAATTCACTTAGCAGATGCTTTTATCCTAAGTGAGGTACATCAGAGAGTAAGTATAACACAAGCAAGGATCTAGAAAACAACGGAACAATGTCAGTTAGAGCAAACGATCAGCTTTGAGTCAGATTGGACACACAGGTGCTGACAGGAAGTGACCAGAGGCAAAGCACAACATTGACGACAGTTCTTGAGAGCTCTGATCAGTATAGAAACCATCTTAAAATCATCATTATCAAAACAAAACCAACATCATTACCCGCATCATCCAAAATCAAAATCATCATCATCATTAAGGTCGTAGGTATTCATGAAAGAGCTGGGTCTTTAGCTTTTTCTTAAAGGTGCAAAGGGACTCTGTTGATCGATTGGAGTTTGTAAGTTCATTTTACCACCGGGGGGCAACAGAGGAGAAGAATCTAGTTAGAGACTTTGGACCCTGTTGTGAAGGTTCGCTGACTTATTACTCTACTTTAACAGTTTTGAAAGAACCCTCAATATTACATGTTGACCACAATGCAACCTGCTCTTTGAGATGAGCCAACTCGGTGAAAATAGCATCGTGGGGTCGCTATGCGAGTTGTTGTACACATACAAAGCTTGTGGCCATGGTTGTTAAGTTAAATCCAGGCAGCGGGCATCATTATGTTTATTTCTATGATTTCAGAGAAAGAAAGGCTAGCTGGCTTTTATCAAGCCAGCTAACTCGACTCACCTGAGCATGCCACACGTGTGCTCCAGACGGACGGTTAGTTTTCCTATGAAGGATTTTGGCTTTTTTTTTACAAAGATACACAACACACTCAGGCTTCCCCTCAATATTTGATCAAATTTCAAGTTTAATACTCCAACTAGAAGCTGTATCATCGTTCGTCTGAGTGTCTGTCAGTCCTTTTCAAGTGTTACTTACCTTACGGAAGGTGGACTTGTGAGGAAGATAAGTTGCATGTTTTTTTATGTTATGTGAGAGAGTCCAGATAAGCTCTAGTCAAGTCAAGATCCAATGAATTATGTTGGGAACAGTAAGTGAGTAAAGCACCTGTTTTATGCAGCATTACTATGAAGCCACACAACCATTCTCCACTAGCTACAAAGTTTTCTAGTGAGAAGCCTAAGACAAACTGATTCATCTGCAAGGTCTTCAATCTACAGCTCAGAGGGCCAAAGTGACAGAACTCTCCGTGCTGTTCTAGTTAATAATCAAATTAATATAATAATCATTTGTTGAGGGGCACCGATAGCCTAGTGGTTAGTGTGCAAACCCCATGTAACCCCCTCTCTCTCTCTCCAATTTCTGACTTCTTTCCACTGTTTCCTATATCTAAATAAAGGTATAAAATAAATATATCATGATTTGTTGACTAGCAGACGCCAAGCCTAGAATAAAGACTACTAGTCGACTAGAAAACTATTTAGAGGCGTCAGCCCTACATACTAAAACACACCTTTGTTATGTACCTCTGGATGTTTGAGTAAGCGTCCAATTCCACGTCTCCATGTTGCTGGTCGGCGTCCTTTCCCACCACACGCTCGGCTCTGATGAACACAAACAATCAGAGTAGGATAATCAAACAGAGGGAAGAAATCTGGAGAAAGACCTCCTTGTCTTAATATCCAAAATTACCGTCACATCAGAGCTCCAGAGTTTCTATCTATCCTGACCTTATGTGTACAACTCCTTGTAAGGGAATTATTTGACTATTGTGACTGAAAAAAATAAAAATAATCAAAAGAGTTATGAGTTCATCATCAACCAGTTTATGATCAGAGAGAGCAACGCATGCTCTGCTTCCTCAGAAGTTCACAGGACAACTTGGGTGAAATATCTCTTGATTTTTAAACTAAATATTTAAAAAAATGATGGCAGATTTTCCAACAGCTTCCAGGCTAGGTGACCCTTAAACTCCTGTCAATGCTTTATATATTACTGCACAGCTGGGCATCTTGGACACACTTTTTATGACGGTTTAGATTGCATTATCAATTATATACGTTGTTTTCTATCAGGAACAATTTTGGCTGGTGTGGATACCCTCTATTCATGTTCCACAGTAAAGTTAGTTCAATGTTGTAGGGCTGTCACCATTAACTAGTAAATTGTGATTAATTAAAGTCTGAAATGAATGCATCATTATGTTTTTCAAAGCACATGCTATTTTGTCCCTTTAGCCTCCCCGTAGATAGTCGTCCTCAGTGTCTCCCTGTAGTCTCAGTGATGTAAAAGAAGGACACTGCTGCATCTTTGAATGTCTCATTTCACTTTAACAAACTCTCAGACAGCTCAGCTGACAAGTCCAAAGTAATATCTACCTTGTGACATCACACATTGACCTAATGACATCACACATTGACCTCATGACATCACACATTGACCTTTGTTGCCATTCCTTTGAGCAGTTTGACGTCAGTTTGGGATCCCTAACCACTTACTGTTTCCGTGCTTAAGTTCATGTTGTAACCTTCCATCTACCAGAAGGGCCTTACTGTATTTCAAAACAAAAGGATTGAATTCAACCAGCAAGTAGAGTATTCTCAGCTAAAGAGAGTACAAAAATTCAAAATAAAAGTTAGCATTTTTTGTAAATGCGAAAATGGATGTGTTTAAAAATGCAATTAATCCCAATTAACTATTGAAATGTTTTGATTAATAAATGTAATCCTTTACATACACTATTTATAAAAATATAAATATTGTAAATAATTTTCCCTCTTTTTTGAGGTAACTGGAGTGACAGTCTCACAGGATATCTACCACGACTAATTGGTTAGTTTCATTCATTTTATTCATTTAGCATTGGATTTAACTAAACATAAACAAATAACAGAAGCTCAAATGTATTTATGAAGGTAAAATGTGGAGAAAAAAACTCTACTAAGGATTAATGAGCACTTTACTATAGCTGTTACACTCTGGATTACAGATCTTATCATCCAGATGTGAGAAAACTTGTTAGACACAAACCACACATCCTCATGACTATTATTTTATATTTTTCACAATACTGTTTACAGTGTAAACCTTAGCTTTGTAGCCTGTCAGTAACCATCACATGAACACAGACAGTGCAACATAGCTAAATATAATAAATGTTTAACCATAACTGATTCACCACTTCTACTTGGTGTGAAGAAAAACGTCAACAGAAGATGCTAACTCCTCGACGAACCTTTTCCGGCAAACGGTTCATTCCTCTTGTATGGAGGACTAAAAGTACCAAAATGAAATATATAAATATATAATTAATTAAATCATTAAATGTGTCATCAATTATTTAATATTGGAAATAAATCAACAAATATATAAATAAATATATAATTATTTAAATATTTAAATGCATGTGTTATTAAATAATTAAATAATTCTTTAAATGTGTCATTAATTATTTAAAATTGGTAATATATAAAATAATTTATGAAATACATAAATAATTAAATAAATGTTTAAATAATTATTTGAAATGTTCATTCATTCTATGTAAAAACACATCTATTTATTCCACTATTTATTTAATTATTTCATGTTTCCTGCTCCAGCAGTGCATCATGAAATAATTTTATCTGTCATCCTGTCCCATCAAACTCAGTGGGCGGGATTAACACTGATGGAGTCACAAACCATTGCTTTGGTCTGCAGGGTTGCCAGACTAGGCGGTTTCCCGCCAAACAAACAAACAAACAAACATGGCAGCAATCACAGAGGATCTGCATGAGCTGGTAGCCCACACCGGACATGATGCTCTAGAACGGCAGTGGGTATGTCAAAAGCCGTGGCGCCCTGGTCCGTGTATGTGTTGCGGCCCAGTACGCCAATATCTTGGTCAGAGAGAGCGGAAATAACTCCAAGAACTTCAATAAATCCCTCTGCTTTGCTAGCCACATGTTCAGGGTCCAAAATTCCAGCGTCAACATTCTCTGCCAGGTCTAAAATATCTGTTATCAACTCACTGGAGAGCTCATGCTATGGACGCGATTAGTGATCAAAATTCAAATGATAAAGTAATTTGAAAATTCAAATGCATTAAGAGAAAGGCTTTTTAAGTTTCAGAATATGAGTGTATTATTTGACTCTAAAATAAAATGATGATTAATTTATCTAATTTGAATTTTAGTTTTCAACTTCAAAAATGCACATTCTTTGACTAAATTAAAATGAGGAAGAAAATGACATTTGCTTTATCATTTTCAAAAAATGCCCCGCTAAATCTGTATCATAATTCAAATGAAAAAGCTAATTTTAAGATGAAAATACAGTAACAGAAACACGTTTTAATTTTCAGAATATAGGTGCATTATTTGACCTAAATTTAAAATTAATATTCAGTCATCCAGTTTGCTTTATACTTTTACTCTCTATGTATGCATATTGTATGACATCATTCAAATGAAAAACGAAAAGGTCTTGGGCTTTTCGTTTTCAAACTTGCCGTGCTAAAAAGTGATCATAATTCAAATCAACTCGAAAACGAAATGGCAAAGTGGACGGCGCAGGAAAGTGACGTCAGACTACAGCTCTAAATAAATAGTGGAATAAATAGATGTGTTTTTACATAGAATGAATGAACATTTTGAATAATTATTTATGTATTTCATAAATTATTTATTTATATATTACCAATTTTAAATAATTAATGACACATTTAAAGAATTATTTAATTATTTAATAACACATGCATTTAATTAATTACATAATTATATATTTATTTATATATTTGTTGATTTATTTCCAATATTAAATAATTGATGACACATTTAATGATTTAATTAATTATATATTGATATATTTAATTTTGGCACTTTTAGTCCTCCATACCCTCGTCCCAACGATATTAAAACTTAGGAATGTGTTTTTCTCCTTCTCTTACAGAAGAGATGCTATGCTTACATCTGGACTGTTCAGTCTCGGACATCATGGAATACCGTGTGACGACAGAGGGCTTCAGGTGTGGCCGTTCATTAGCGATCAACTTCCGCGCGGTCAAAACTTAATGCGCTACATTGTTTACAGTCCGACAAGAAACTTGTGATACGATAATGGAGACGGACTTCCACAGATGATGTCAAAGAGTGGATTGTTTGCTGCGCTTTGTCTACAGATATGATTTTATGGAGATTAATGACGCTAAATCATTTTCATTGTCTTTTTTATATAGAATCTGTAAATCAAGATCATGTTATTGATCATTATCATTAGGTGTTGACCGGAAGCAGAGGAGGAGGGGTGTGGTCATACATACAATTATTTATTCAATCCATTTTTGCTCTGTTTACCAAAGTGCTTTACAGCCCACACAGAAATACTGTTTGCAAATAAATGACAAATGATCATTTTTGAAAATAGAGTTAAAAGAGTAAAAAATATAAAACATAAGAACATAAAAACGTAAAAAGGGCAAGGACACGTGTTTTGTATTAATGTAATGTGAGCGACAGAGAACAGAATATTTGAATCAAAGCTTTTTCTTTCTGTTATGACTTTAGTATTTAGTCTACAATCGTTTGTGACAAAACAAATAGAGAAAGAAATGTGATATAAAAGGTAAAGTAAAGTTGCCTTTTTTGCAACAAACTTCGTTTTCAAAGTAGAAATGTACACACAATACACAGTTAAGTAATGATAGTAGTTGAAAAATAAATACAAAACAATATATAGTCAATATAATAAACAATAAAAAACAAATGTAAAAAAATAAATCATGTAAAACAATAGTAGAGAACAAGGGGGCAGCATAAAAAATATTAAGATTTAATTTTATTACATTGAGAACATAGTGTAAATGAAAACTTAAATTTGGAGCACTAATTTAGATGTTTTCTTACATTTTTTTTTGTTTTTGGCTGATGTTCTTCTGAGTGTCTTCACAGTCGAGTGATAAGTCTAAGTATATAAGTAGCCTACCTATTACAATGACATTTTCAGTGTGTACCTGCTTTCCCTTTTCTAATTTCTTTAAATCACAGGGGCATTCTCAAGCAATAATGGCGCAGACTATACTGCTCAGCTAATTGGGGAATTGAATCCCATTATCTGTTGCACTGCAGATATTCTGAGAAGGAATCCCTCTATATAAATTGCATTGTAAAACATAAAGCATTGAGTATTTATAACCTGACCACATGCCTTTAAAGGTAACCAAGAGAGTTGGCTTTGATTTCAGTAAGCCCATACAAACATAAACGTACTACTGGTGCAGCAACAGAGTCATTTTATTTATTTGTACGAGTACTTCCAGGATATCTGCTGTCATTTCTGGGTGGGTGTTTCAAGCAAATGTGTGACTGGACTTGTGAAAGCAACAACAGAGATGTGAGTACATTTCGCAGTGGTTTCACAGATAATTATAAGCTTTTCATGTAAACATAGTACACATAATCACAACAATGTCTTCATCTCATATTTAAGAAATATTATATTAATATAAGAAACCCTTTACAATAGCTTGAAATAATGTAAAAGAACAGTTAACCTAATGAGCATGTCTTTGGACTGTGGGAGGAAGCCGGAGTACCCAAAGAGAACCCAGACATGCATGGGGAGAACATGCAGACTCCACACAGAGAGACTCCTGTATGATGGGGATTCAAACCAGGAACCCCCTTAAAGCCCTGAATAACTGTTATCCTTCATAAAATGCAAAATGAGCTTTTAAGACCTATTCGTTTTTTCAACCAGGCTGTAAGCATGTTAATCTCTGCTGTAAAAACAGTTTTTGTTTTTTAATGGGTGTGTATGTGACTTCCTGTGCTTCTGCAGCCAGCCTCAAGTGGACACTTGAGGAACTGCAGAATGTTGCACTTGCGCATTGGCTTCATTTTATGAGACCGGAGGATGTCCCTTGGCTTAAACAGTTTTAATATTTGATAAAATGAACATATTTTTGTTTGTTTAATTTTTGCATTCAATGCTAATGGGGTTGTCTGTCATCTATTAGGTCCTCTCTGTAAAGCAAGGAGGCTTGACTTAAAACCATTTTGGATTAATTTCACTTCTAGTAAAAGGTGGGTCGCGGAGCTGTTTTCAGTGGGTCGCGTGCATGTGCCTTGAAAAAACCTCAAACGGTCTGTCAAGTGCTTTTTTGTTCAGTTTATTACCTCCGTCAGATGTTTTGCACAATCTGAGGTACACAATATTCAGTGAAATCAAAGTTGGGATTCTGTTTTCTGCACACCAAGTGTACACAATGGATGTAGATACATGTGCACATAAAAGCCTGAATAACAAAGTGGAGAGGAGGTCTAATGTGTTGATATGTTGTGACCTATGGTAAGGTCTTCATTCAATAAACAGCAGCATGACTGAGATCAATCTGCGGTTTATAGCAGTTGAACACAGGTGAAAGTGTAGGTATAGCCTATGATATGTGTCACATAGCACCCGGCGTTTTTCTCACAAGGTTTTACTTGTTTACAACCAAAGAAGGCGCGGCTTTATCCCTACTTTATATGCGCGCACCGAGTTCACCCAAGTTAAATAAGTACACACACACACACACACACACACACACACACACACACACACACACACACACACACACACACACACACACACACACACACACACGGCCTACTTTTCCCAAAATCTATCGCTCATTTGCGGAGTAAAGAGAGAGAGAGATAGCGAAAGACAGAGAGAGAGAGAGAGAGAGAGAGAAAGAGTGAGATTCGGCTCCCTCGCAGGCTGCTGCTGCGGTGCCAATGCGCACTTTTGGGATAGGTTTCCCCCAAAACTGACCGTGCGCTCGAAACGAACATGAGATTGAGCGACGAGCGCGTCATGCGTGTCTTCCTCGTCTTTTGCTCGGTGCGATCAGTGTTTCTGTGTTCCTCAATCCCCTGGGATACTGTGCCGCCCTCGATGTCTCTGCTATCGGCGTTTCGCTCACACTGAATGGCTGCCTGGAGCGAGGAAAAGCGGGGAGAAAGAGCGCTGCCTCTCCTCCTTTGAACCAGCGCTGTCTGCAGCAACTTCCCAGCGAGGGGGTGAGTGTCCGTCTGCCGCTGTGTGAGGCGTCCTGCCCGGCCGGGGTCGTCTGAGGACCCACCGGGGATAGAGCAGGAGGATGAGGAGTGGGGAGAGGAGTCTGTGCTGGTGTCCTGGATTTGGGTTGATGTTGAGCCCTAACACAGTCCATCACACAGTTTAGGTTTAAGAAAAGTCTGCGATGTATTCGGCCTAGTCCTAAACTTTCTTTCACCACAGACATAACCGTATTATGAACTTGTAATAAGATGTTCGCAGTTAAATGGTTAATTTCTTGCAGTTACTCTCTGAAATATGCGAAAATGCGGTGGCAGTCAGGTTTTTTTGGCACGGCAGCTCTTGAGCGCCGGTTGTAAAGAATTGTGCCTTGTTGTGCTCCCCCCCCCGCTCCGTGCCGCACTGGTTCCGTCTGGCTCGCCCTCAGCTGCTGCGTGTCCTGGGATGACCTGTTGATGTCGGTAGAATGGAGAATGGCAGGGGGAGCGATTTCCCCCATCACCAAAATATTTAAATAAGCAACATTTGAAGCTTGACAACCGGCGTCGCAGCACAACTACCTCGTCTGCACAGGCAGTAAGTGTCTCGTTTGTCTCTTTTGAGTGTGGGTTATCGCGGAAATGCGTGACATTGTGCAGCTGGGCTGAGTGTGCATGAGGTGGATGGTGCGCCGGGGCCAACCCAAAAATATTTAACAGCGCTGTTAGCTTAGCCATTAGCCACCTCTATGGGCCTGCTGCGGAGATGGGAGAGAGAGGGCATCAAACATTTCAGCTATGACAGTCAGCGGGAGAGACGAGGAAGTTGCCACGGATCTGTCTACTGTAGATGACTAAGACTGATTTGCGTTCCTGTAATTTGATGGCACGTAAACAGGAACACAGCGTCGCCCTCACCCGGGTATCACCGGGGCTTGCTGCCATCCTGTGTCGCCCCCCCCTCCTCCCTCTCCTCTCCTCCCCCCGCCGAGTCCCGTCTCCGGTGCCAGCAGACACTGGAGCTCTCCCGGCGGGTAGCCTGGCACACAGCGTGTCCAGAGCCCCTTATCTGCTCCCCGTTACCCGGCATCCTTTTCTCGTTTCACCAGCACTGAACAGAGTCAGACTGTGGTCGGACACTCATCATGTATTCCTCAGTAATGTGGAGTTATGAAGTTTTGAAGCTTTTGATGCCACTGTTCTTTGATATTCCGATTATTCCTGTTCTATAAGGACAAGCCAAGAACCAGGCCTGTGTGTAGGTTGTGTCTGACTTGATAGGAGTAGCACTGCCATGCAGGCATGAGCACATTAAAACCAGGAAATGCCTATAGAGGGAATGCATTGTGTGCCAGCTGCACCAATGACTCCACAGTAATCATGCTCTTAGCAAAGCAAATTGCTGCTTTTAATAGGGCAACTGGACAAACTTGAAAGTAGGTATGCATTTGGAAATGTGTTGACAGCTGTCCCATCGTAACACAAGATGAGCTTCTATGAATGCTAACAAAACATTCACCAGGCTGACTATGAAAAGTCTTTGGTCTTAAGCATGTTGTGAGTATGTTTGACCTACTTTCCTCACAGGATAGTTGGTTTGAGATCCGAGCCACAGGGTGAGTTCGGGTGAATTTGATTCTTTCACATCGCTGCGCTCTATATATTTAATGGAATAAGGACCTGAGATGATCCCTCTCATCTCTGCAGGCCTCAATGCCCCTCCTTGGTGCATAAAGACACACATGCAAAATCACACACACACACACACACACACACACACACACACACACAAGAGTCACATTCTCTCTCACTGTCAGGACAAACTGTGCAAACACTCCCTGCTCTCAGCTCTGTGCCTGTGTGTCTTTATGTGCACGCATGTGTGCTTACTGCGGCTCGCCAAACTGTAAACAAGCAGTATTGTCTAATGCCTGTGTGTGACTCAGTGTGCCTTTTGTGGGTTTGTTTGAGTTTGTGTGTGTGCGCATCTGTGTTTTAGTATGAGGGAGAGAGAGCTTGAGTGAGACAGAGACAAAGAGAGCATTTCTCTTTACCCTGGAGCTTGGCGAGGTCCCAAGTGAAAGGCTTTGGATATGATGGGGCGGCTCACTCCTGCCCTCATCAGTCAGGCACACCAAAGTTGGTTGTGTAGCCTCTCACAGGGTGGGCTTCAACCAGTTTTGCTCTCGTGGTGTCAGAGATTCTCGTTAATCTGGAGTATATATTTATGTGTGCTTTGCATGGATTTGTGCGACACTTCAAAGGGGGGAAGCAGCTGTGTGAAAAGTAGCTTTGGCATGTAGACTTTTGTACAGTGCAGGCTTATAAATGTGCTCATCATGTGTGAAAAGAGTCCAGACCACAGACTGATATATAAGAATGGACAGCGTGTCCCCGCCTCCTCCTGTCGAGCAGGATGAAGCCAGAATAACCCCCGAGATGGAAGCAGACATATTCCGATTATTTTCAACCAGGGTCTGCATGGTGGGTACAGTCCACAGCAGAACAGATTCTTGTGTCGTTTGAAGCAGACACTCACCGTCATGGAAGGAGCCGCACTCTAACTCCTCCCCAAAAATATGACTACAACACAATACAGCGCAAAAACCTGTCAAAATGAAAATAAGAAACAAGGAAAAATGTGTCTAACATAGAGGAGTTTATACGACGCCAGTCAGACGGGGGGGGGGCTCTAAATCTTCTGGCTTCACTCCCATGCATCTGTTTCTTCCGTCCATCTTTATATACAGTCTATTGCCCGCACCGCTGTTCTGCTTTCTGGTCGATGAAAATGCCACATGTGCTTATCTCTGGGTAGTTTTATAGTTCACTGTTGTAGTGGAGGTTTTATGGTTGTTATGGGTACAGAGGGCATTTAATGCTTATACATGTCAAGTCTCAGTACTCAAAAAGTCGATTCCTCCCCCTTTCATTCTGGGAAACAAGGTAATGTATACAAACCCTGAATCATAAAATAAACTATATGGTGTATAAAGTAACTGAGAACAAGTTGCTGCCTGCATGCACCGTGTTCGAATCTCAGCGGAGGGAGCTTTGATTCACTTTAATATTGACATAATATAGGAATCTTAGAGCGGATGCAGGGCAATGGGGGTCTGTTTGCCTCTTACTGTTGAGAGCAGTGCGTGGAAACATGTTATGCAGTGTTTGTTTAGGCCACACACACTCACTTGCACATAGAATAACAGAATGTGACCCAGTTATCCAAGGACGGCGGGATTTTATAGCTCATAGAAGACAGAAAATAAAAAGGCTTTTACTGAGCCTGCTCCTGGCAATAACAACTTCTGAGAGGCTGGGAGTGACGTATAGGATTAATGCAATGTAGATTATCCACTGGAAGCCTCAACAAAACTTTGTTTCAAATATCAACGTCCTGCGAGCCTGCCAAGAGCCCTCAGTGGGACTGTGTGAAGAAATGTTTGTGGCCTTTGTCGCTGGATATGCAAATGGTGAAAAATCTGTTTTTTGTTGTCCAGGACTACTTTCCTCTCGGACAGAGGCATTACATTACAAATAATATGGGCTGGAGCTGATAAAACAATAGACTTTAATCGTTTGTTTTTGTACTTCCTTTGAACGAGTTTGCCCGGTGAAGACTGTCGGCCATTTTTATTGTTAAGCTAAACATTCCCCGCCTGTTTTGTTTACGTCTGTTTTCCTCCAACTTCCTGTCTTGGAATGTTAGCCTGTTACTTACACCCCCGCCCACATTGCCTGCTGACCCCACTACACAAAGACAATAGCAGCAGATAAAACACTGTAAATACGAGGGCTTTAAATGGGTCTGCCCTGACCGCTGCCCTGCTCAAACATCCAGAGATGAAGCATCAAACACACAGAGTGTAGAGCTGCATCGATCAACCCCGGACTGGATAAAATGAAAACTGACAACTATTTAGGTTTAATTAATACATTTCTGAAACAGCGACGTCAAACATTTCCATTGTCAGGCTTCTTAAATGTTAGAATATGCACCTTTATTTGACAGTAAATGAAGATTCTTTGGGTTGTTAGGTAAGCAGCAGTGGTGGGGCACCAGATAGCCGGGCGGTTATAACTACAGAGGCTGTAATCCATCAAGCAGGCGACCGGGTTCGACTCAAAACCCTCTGCACTTTGCTGCATGCCCACGCCCACTCTCTCACCCCAGTTTCCCACTCTTACTGTCATTAAAACTTAACAATGCTTCACCTTAAAGGCTTTATATGCGATTTTTCACACTTAAATATAATCTAAATCAAGTATATCCTCTGAAAATAACTCTGTGAGTCATGACTGTCTACAATGGGTGTAACACCCGAGTCCCACTGTCTGTGATGTTTTCAGAATTTTCCGAGTCCTATCTTCAGTTTGTTTACATCGCCGGGACGGCCGGCTGACTCCTCCCCTCTTGTATTAAAGTTGTTTAATTGAGGGACTAGAGAAAAGAAGAATAACATACTGTACTCACTGCTTAACTGTGTTTCTAGATCACGCTCATTTCAGGTAAATTTACATGCAGTGTGAAGATACGAGCATAATAAAGATCGCTAGCATTAGCATGCTAACACAACAATACACCGCAAGTTGTTGCATGCCTTTAAAGTGCACATACATACAGGCGTCCACAGCTGAACAAAATATAGTTAGTTGCGGTTGAAGCTTGAATTTCACTCCAGTCCTCGTGCTCATTAAAATCTCAGAGGACATCAGAAGAGTTATTTACTCTTAAGTGTTTTTTTTCTGTTTAACTTTCTTGGTTATAATTTCTAAATGTCTTACTTGACACGATGGAGCTTTGGCTGCAACGCTGTGTGAGATTACAACAAGTTTAACTAATACTGTGTGGGGATTGGTAAACTCAAACGACAGTCCGATCCCTGTTTAAGAAAGGATGAAACTAAACCTGCTGACCTTGGATTTAAACATCAACCACACCTCTGTTTAAAAACCTAGTGTCATACAAAGACGCTGGACGGGATAAAACTTTGTCTCTGAATACAGTTGATTTATTTTTTTCTCACTTGGCTTCTCTTCTCTCCCATGCAGACCCTTTGGCGGTGTGCGTTGGCGCACCATGGCCCAGACCCTCCAGATGGCGATCCCAAACTTCGGCAACAATGTCTTAGAGTGTCTGAATGAGCAGCGGCTGCAGGGCCTCTACTGTGATGTCTCCGTGGTGGTCAAAGGCCACGCCTTCAAGGTAAGGAGGAGACGGCAGAGTATCAGGGTGTTTTCATTTTGAACTATTTGAAAGTTCAGTGTAAACATTTAGTCCTGTGGTTTAGTGGTGGATTAAAGAAATGGCGCTGCGTGGACGATGCATCACCTTTTCATTTTCTTACTGAACTATCAGATTGTTTCGACGTTCTTCTTCAGATGTTGTTTGACACTTTAGTGGATGCTTTGGTTTCTTACATGAAATGACAGCTGCACCTCCTTAAATGATTATATATTCATATCCCACCTCTCTTTTCTGAAGTTATCGGATAAAGGATGCATCTTTGAGAAAACAATGAATGACGGCCCACGCTCAGAGTCGTAGTTGCAGGTCATATCAGATTTGCAAAATTGAAGGCCATGAAATGTCTTAAAAAGTCCTGGTAACACTTTGAATGAAGCTCACAATATTCTCCATTAACAAGTTGTTTATTAGCATGCTAACTTGTAGCATAATGGCTGCGTATTTGTGGATTTGCGCTTACATGACGATTCCCTGCATTTGTGTCAGCATATTAAAAATGCATCTCAAACTGGGAACAGAAGGAGAAGAAGATTAGGAGATGAACGTTCAAAGATATTTAGCTAGACTAGTGGTTAGGTCGTGCCCCATGTACCGAGGCTTTAGTCGTCAGGGTTCTAGTCTGACCTGCGGCTCCTTCCCACACGTCCGTCCCCACTCTCTCTCTCTCTCTCTCTCTCTCTCTCTCTCTCTCTCTCTCTCTCGTGATTTCCTGCTCTGTCCACTGTCCTATCTAGTGAGGGCAAAAACAAATCTTAAGAAAGCCTAAACATTTCTCGATTAAAAAAAAAAAGGGAATAATAATTGGGCGACTTGGAAGATTTGAAAAAGTGCTTTTAAAACTTGATAAAATGGGACTCAATGGAGTCCCACATCAAATCCAAAAAGCACCAACGCTGAATGGTACAAACTTTTCTTTGTTTGGGTCTTTGAAAAGTCGACAGGATTATTTTCTTTCCAAAGACATTGGGAGAGCTCCAAATCAGTGTTTGATGTCACCATTCTTACATTTAACACTCATCTCTGCTCTGTGCTCGTCTGCTTTATGTCGCAGGCCCATCGAGCCGTGCTGGCTGCGAGCAGTTCTTATTTCCGGGACCTTTTCAGCAGCAATAACGGAGGAGGAGGCGGCTGCAATGAAACCAGCCCGACTGTAGTGGAGCTCCCGTCAGCTGTGCAGCCTCAGAGCTTCCAGCAGATTTTATCCTTCTGCTACACGGGCCGTCTCAGCATGACAGTGGGGGATCAGTTTCTCCTCATGTACACTGCGGGCTTCCTGCAGATCCAACAGATCATGGAAAAGGGCACAGAGTTCTTCCTGAAAGTAAGGATTATCTGAGGGGGGGGTGTCTGCTGCAAGAAATACATGTTTTTGTTGTGTGCTTTGAATCACTGGCCAGAGTTTGCAGAAGTAACATTATAGTGTGAGTAGGGTTCTACATATGGAGGGTTATGTTAGGGTTGATAAAGTCTCTGTACTTTCAGAGTTTCTGTAATCTTCACGGGTATAAGAACTTGGTGGAAATTCACACAACTTTGGACCTGAGGAACCTTTAAAGCCTTTGAAAATAAACTCCTGGGACTCAAAGTTTTTGAGGCTTTTGGTGGGGACATTGCATTAATCATCGGGAAAGCTGTACAGAAATTCATTAATGACTGTTGCAAAATCTGAGAGAAATCTGTTCAATGGTTGCTGAAATGTCAAACTGTAGGATTCTTCAGCCCAGCCAATAGCCTGGTGAACACGCTCACTTATGTATGCTAACACCAAGTTTCTGTTCATCTCTAGGTCTCCTCCCCCAGCTGTGACTCTCAGGGCCTCCACGCTGAAGAGGCCCCTCCTTCTGAGCCCCAGAGTCCAGTAACACAGACCGGTAACGGTGCGGCCCGACCCACGTCCTGCGTGACGCCGCTCTCTCTGGTGTCCCGAGTGAAGACAGAGCACCCAGCTAGCCATCCAGAAGCCGCCACTCCTTACTCGGTGGTCTGCACTCCTGTCGCCAAGCGTCTGTGGGAGGGAGGCAGCAGCCGGGACGGAGGAGGAATGGGTTCGGGCGGAGGAGGAGGAGGAGGAGGAGGGGCCAGGAAGGCCGCTCGTTATTCCCAGGAGGCAGTGCGCGGCAGTGCAATCCAGAGTCCTGGAGCCCTCGGACTGGCCATGGGTATGGGTGCCACGGCAACCAGCCTGGCTGGGATGGTGGCCGGCGGTGGGCTCAGCAGCAGTGCCGGCACGAACGGGAGCTCTGCGGCCGGTCTCGGCATGTCAGAGGGCGCCAGCCCCGGCACCCTGAGCACCTACGCCAGTGACTCACCCATCAGCTACCACGATGATGAAGAGGAGGAAGAAGGGACGGAAGACTGCGCCGAAGAGCAGTACAGGCAAATCTGCAACATGTACACGATGTACAGCATGCTCAACATGGGAGCCACAGGTGATAAACGTGAGATGGAGTGATTATGTTCATTTGATCTGAAAACATGATGATGTGTTCTAACGTTTAGGCCCACTATCTATTGTATCTGTGTGAAAAAGTGATGTGGCTTTTTATCCTAATGTCGGTGTGTGCTGTGTTTCTCCAGCGGCTGGGGAGCGCGTTGAAGCTCTGCCCGACCACACAGAGACACGGGGACGGATGAGAGGCAGAGATCTAACATGTCTCCCTGCAGAACTTATCGCTCAGATAGGAAACCGCTGTCATCCCAAACTGTACGAGGAAGGAGACCCCGCTGAGAAACTAGAGCTAGTCTCAGGTACGTAATTCATGTGGGCTCAAGAGAAGCTAACAATAACAATAGATTTGAGTTTTAGATGATAACGTGCACAGAACGGTTTGTCAGTGTCAGCATCAGGATTAGCTCTTAAAGTTACACAACATTATTCAATGTAGAAAGGTTAAGGACTTTAAGCAGGACAGAGCCAGTGACATATATTTGGAAGAAGCCGTCCTCGGATGACTTGACTTGGCATCGGCATGCTGCATTCTTGCACATGTGACTCAGTGTGTTTGTGTAAGGGAAGTCCTGTGACAATGTCTGTGTTACCTCACAGGCTGAATTAGAGGTGCATACCATTTAGTTAAGTGTATGCATGTGAGTAAGAGAAGGAGTGAGACATTTAAAAAAAAAAAAAAGGAAAGGGTTCGTCGGAATTCAGAGTGAAATAAAAAAATAAATGCATAATGCTTACAATAATTCAGGAAATTGCACCGCCTGTTAATGTTATTCTTCACTTTCTTAGTTTTTAAGTTACGTAATCCATAACCTCCCGACAAAAAGCTCATCAGCTGCGATAACAGAATCACGTGTGAAGCTTCTTTTAAATTAATGATAAACCAACAAAAGTAAAACTCCATCACATGTAACTGAGGCAGAGCCTCTTCAGTCCCCGCCCACAGCTGCAGTGTTTGATGTGAGTCAGAATTGTCTCCAGATAAACAGAAACTCCGCACCGGTAAATCAGAGTGAACATCCTGACTGCATCTGACCCACATAATCAGAATCTGAAGATGTGAAACGCGCCGTGAAGTGAGACGACATACCGAGTCATTAATGCTGATATGTACTCCTGATGTGTGGCGGTTCGTTCATTTGTTGATACTCTCTGCGTGCGTGTGTGTGTGTGTGTGTTTGCAGGTACTTCTGTGTATATATCCAGAGCCCAGCTAATGAACTGTCATGTGAGCGCAGGGACCAGACACAAGGTGCTGCTGAGGAGGCTGCTGGCCGCCTTCTTTGACAGGTCTGCTCCTGCCGTCCGTCTCCATCTGTGTGTCTGCGTCTATTTCTGCATGTGTTTGATGTTGAGCTGGCAAAAGCTTTAGTATTTATACAGAAATCAATGTATTTCTTTTTATCTGCTGGGATTAAACAGCTATTTTTGTCTTCTCTGTTCGGTGTTACTCATTCTTCTTCTGGTGCATCAGGAACACGCTGGCTAACAGCTGTGGAACAGGCATCCGCTCATCTACCAACGACCCGAGCCGCAAACCCCTGGACAACAGAGTTCTGCACGCGGTCAAATGTGAGCCTCCTTGTTTTGTTTTGTCTGTGGATTTATTCTGCAAACATCATATATATGAGTGTAAAGATGACAACAGATAGAGGGGAATGTGCATGTTGTCTAATTGAGGATTTAACACATACTAAATGATAGATTGTTCATTTGAACTCCTTTGGATGAAGTGCAAAGTGTAGATGACGTGCTACCAACTGTATAATGATTAACGTTCTGCAACAACATGAAGTGACCACTAGATGACACTGCCAAACTGAATCTGAGGCCCTTACTTAAGTGTGTGAAAAAGAAATGTGTTTATATGTTTAACGCAGAGCTTGATGCTTCAGTGGAGTTTCAGCTGGCTTTGTAAAGCTGAGGCTTCAATACTCCAAACATTTTACAGGAATGTTCGGCCAAATCAGACATTTTATTTTTAGTCCTCCTGCAATCATAATCCATGCAGAAAATATCATCATACTCGCGTATCTAACTTTTATGGTTGACCTGGTTTGCCTTTGACAACTGCATTCATTTAACTTGTACATTTCCCTACAGCTGATGCAGGACACGATTTAAAAGATCATCTCAATCTGTCCATTAAATACAGTATGTCATTTAGTGTTTATCTGTGCTTGCAAACATTTGGTTTTAGAATTCCTGAGCAGGCAGATTTGAGCATTTTTTAAACTCATTTCTACTGGTGAGAATTTGATCTGTCGATAATAATTTATTCCCCAAACAGACAAGATGTGGAGTCATTACTGAAAGTGTTGCAGGTTGACGGGACACCTGTAACATTTCAGACATGTTAAAAGAACGACTAACTTATAAAAATAAGTTAGCATCAGAAAAAAAACAAGGCTTTTAATGATGCCTATTCAACTCTGAATAATGTGATCACCACTTTTTTGTTGTTGTTCAGGGTCCCATCTGTTTAGTTCCAGTTGTGGTTCACAGCGTAAATTGCAGTCTGTACAAACCTCTTTTTATCCCTTTTCTCATCAGTTTACTGCCAGAACTTTGCCACCAGCTTCAAAGAGAGCGAGATGAACGCCATCGCAGCCGACATGTGCACCAACGCCCGCCGAGTGGTCCGAAAGAGCTGGATCCCCAAGCTGAAGCTGCTGATGGCCGAGAGCGACGCCTACACCGCTTTCCTTCCCGACGTGGTCAAGATGGAGGACGACGCCCTGGGGACGGACCAGTCCTTCGACCCCGCCTCCCTGGAGGCAGCCGGCGGCGTGGGCATGGAGTCCGGTGGCTCTTCAGGTGAATCACTACCAGGTGTGGGCGGGGACGGAGGACCCTTATTTTGAACATTGTGGAGGGGGAGGTTGAAAGTTTGGTGACACACATACCAGTATTCCCCGGCTCTGCTTGCCTCCTCACTCTTTTGGCCCACGCTGATTTCTCACATGTGACTGTCTGAACCACACTGCGGGGTCAACAGCTGTTGGCACCCTGACGTAACCAGGACGTGAAAACTTTAATTCTCGCTTTATGACTGTAGGATGGAGTTAGTAGAGGAAAGGGAGGAGTGAGAGGGTGTTAAGTTTTCTTCTAACTGCCCTCTGCCTCCCCTTGTCTTTTTAAGGTGTATAACACATCCACGGTTGCATATTAAATACATTCCCTGCAGGTGGGTGGAGCTGCCTGTGCAGCCTGAGGAGGTAAAGGTGGCTCGGAGGAGAGGGGCCGAGTATATTGAATGTAAGTGTCAGTGGCATTTTTTCTCTATGCAAGCCTGACAACTTGTATTCCAGCCTTGGAAAGGGAACTTAAGTAGATTGCAAAATGTAAAGAACACTACCTGTTCTCCTCCCCGTGCACCCTCAACTCATCAACCTGCAAGTAACCTTCACCCTGCATCCTTTATCGAGACCAGAAAATCTCACCCGAGTGTTTCACTGTGCAGTCTTACAGAAATCAATCTCATCTTTGTTTTTCCAAAATTTTCTTTGTCTAAAAAAAGTGAGAGAAGCCGAGAGAAGGGAAAGATCTTTTTACTGAGATGATGTAAAGATAATTGAAGGGCGACAAGGTTATCACAGATGGTCATATTTTTAAGAGGATAAACTATATTTATACGAGTGCCCATGCCAAGGATATGGTGTGAGCGAGGAGAGTGAGAGGGATTGTTTTAAAATCTCGATCTTCATGTTTTATTGAAAGAGGTCTTGTGGAAAAAAAGGAAAAGTGCTATTTTTGCAGAAAAGAAGCGGTATATATAAAAGCAGTCTTCTCATAGGACCCGTAGTCGTTTTATTTTTATCTCACTTGACAGAAGCGAGGGATGGAATGAGCAGTGGAACTGCTAAATTTAAAGCATTTCATCTCCCGCTGGCCGTCTGAAAAAAGGAAGATTTAGACTGATTGAGCTGTCCTGACTGTTTTCTATGATCTCAACGTTTGCCTCCTCTAATTGAACAATCGGCCCCACCATTTTTGAAGATGACTGCAGAAATACGAAGGTTATATCATGATGTGACAAACACTCAGCTAGTCTCTTCTCTTTCCTGAAGTAACGAGAGAAATCTGCTCGTCTGTTCACAAACTGTTGGAATGTGCCTTTAAGTTGAAATGAACAAGCAGAAGCCTGGAGGGCACAGTGATGAGGTGGGGGGGGGGGGATATGGCTTGAATCAAAAAGGCTTTATGGTACGATCATGTGTGTGTGTGTGTGTGTGTGTGTGTGACAGATCTTTGGTTCAGAGGGAGGGTCTGTTCTGCATGGCTGTGTGTTTCAGTATGTCGTTTATTCATGTATCTGACGCACCACCTCTATGATTTTGCACCTTCTGTGAGAGGTCGAGCGGACGTACGTTTCTGCACCTTAATGAGAAGAACCAGTGGTTCATGCACCTTTTTGAGAAATGTTGTGTAGCACCTGAAGCCCTTTAGATGTTTTTCTTTCTTCTTCTTTTGTCTCTCACGTCTGCCTGTGTTTAACAAGTGGCACAAAAAAAAAAAAAAAACCCCGACTGTAAATAGTCCAGAAGACTGTTGAGTCGAATCCCAAGTGTTCTTCCTTTCTGTTGCTGGATGCACCTGATTCTTATGACACGTCAATAACTGACCTTTTTATGTGAACGTTGGTGTTTGTGGATGCATGTTGACCTGTCGATGACACGGGTTGGTACAGGGGGGGGTTCATTGTTGTAGCGAGGGCCGATACAAAGTGACAGAGTGTGATTCAGGAGCTGAAAGCTTTCTTCAAACTACTTTCTCCTCAGAGGCTTTGCTTAAAGGTTTATTTTTTCTGAAGACAAAAAAAAAGTTGTTTTTTTTCAATCATGATTTAAATTCAACAAGAGGCATGATAGATAATATCTTCAGGCTGAGTTCCCTGAAACAGTTTGATGGACTGATGTAAAGACAGATCAAAAATGCATTAAGTATCATGTTAAGGGTAATACCAACAAAACCTCAGTAAGCTTTGCATTTGACTGTAGATGCCACATGAGCATCCCTCCCCCTCTTACCTCTTTAAAGACTGCTTCACGCAGCTGTTTCAGGTTTCACTTCATCCAGTCTGTTCATGTGTTTCACAGATGCAAAGCAGCGGTTTAATCGGAGCGCTAATGTTAAATATGCCGAGTGTCTTTTTCACCAAGTTTACACTTGCAGCTTTGTGTGTTTCATCCCAGAGACTGTTTAAAGACCGGGCAGCGGCAGGAGGCTGAGGCCCGATGTCCATTTGTGTAAACGGTCTGTAACTATTGCGGTACCTTTAGTTAGCATCTTTGCCCGTTATTTTCTGTCGGAGAATTCATTTAAAGTTTGAGTTTATGTTACACAGAAAACCGGATTTTAGGTTTAAAAAAAAATTGTCAAACTAAATCGATGCTAGATTCAGAGATGATTGCTTCGTGTGCAAGAGTGAAAGGACAAAGAGAAATCATAAAACCAGGAGCTCCAAATTTAAAGTTGGGACGTTCAATCGAGCAACTCTAATTTAGCAAAGTGGCTCCTAAATCTAGCGACGCTCCTGCCCCCAAAAAACTGAAATAAAACCGGTGAAAACCACCTGATTTCATTCATAAGACGACTGTTATTGCTAGAAGAAGTATTCATGCAACACAGGTAAAGAAGTGTCTGAAGTTTCTAAAATCATTATAAGCTAATCATTAAAAACGAGGCCGATCGAGGGCTCACACGAGTTTCTGACGGTTCCACTGTGACCTCCTGAATGACTCCACTCCGAGTCGCTCGCTTGGTGCTGCTGAAATCAGCATCGATTGTAAGGAAACACGGGCGGTCTCAGATACAGACGCAGCGTTGGCCCCCTTTTACGGATCGCAGTTCTTCAACAACGCCAGGACACAATCCCCCGCTTCACTCACGCCTTTGTTCTCACACACTGCATCTGTCTGTAACGGGGGAAGAATGGCGTCCCAGCATGTGAGCTCACAGTGGGAGCATCACACACACACACACACACACACACACACACACACACACACACACACACACACACACACACACACACACACACACAAAGCATTGCCCTGCCTCGCCAGCTCCAACACTACTCAGCATCATCACCCCCCATCATTACACCTCTGTTACTACATCCGATTGAGGATCAGGGGCGTCACAATATCGCCCCATCAGGGTCGTAAGTAACCCCTCCCTTCAACTGGCAGTCTGTCGACTTATCCAGATTGTTTTTCCTGCAACAAAGCTTTACCGCCTTGTTTACACGATGGCGTGACATCGGCGTCCCAGTGTGTGATTTCACACTGCGTGGAAACAGCAGGGGCTCCACATCCACACCGCGCTGTTCTCCTGCTGGCTCCGCTGTCTTCCAGTGTTTCCGGCTCGCCTCCGTTACTACCTCTGACGACGGTACAGAGGTGGTACTACGCCGTCACACCTCTGTGACATTCACACTGAGGCGAGGCGTCGCGGGGGGGAAGGGGGGGGGCGCCTTGAGCAGGCAGTCTAAACAGGGTTCCTAAACACTGAGCCGTCAGTTTATCCATCGGTGTGTCACAAGCAGAGCTTTTATTAAATGGCGGGGTTAGGATGGAGCAGAAGTAACCGTGGTTACGCCACATCAGGGGTTTTACTCAAAGTCAGGGCCGACTATCAAACGGTCGAGTCGTATCACTCATAACATCCCAATCGTCTCGTTTAATTCCCCCCCCCCTCCTCGCATCATTAGGAGTGAAAAAACGTTTTGTTCACCTTCCCACATGTAGACCTACACACCTGAACGGATAAGGTGCGGCACGGCATGGGGAACCTTTTGTCACTGAGCAGTACATATATAAATATGATAATACACATGTATAGATAAATACTGTACATTATATATAGACACACACATAGAGGTCAGATTGTTTGTTGTGCACTCGCAGCATGAGGTATATACTTACCCAGAAACAACGCTTTCTCACAACCTGTGCAGAAACTGGTCTGCCCCACGTCTTGACCCCTGCTCCTTCCCCTCTGTAACCCTGTAGCACCAGTGGACATCCTGTACTTGTCATCCTCCTTCTCTCTGTGTTCCAAGTGCCAATAACTTTGTGAAAGCCCTGTAACTGTGACCCAACATTATCAAAGGTAATTGCACATTAACGACTGTAAGATAAATAAATACAAATCATAGAGCAATGTCGACATGGATTAAATAATAAATATCTTAATAAAAGATTTGTAACAATTTCTTTGTGAGTGCTTTTTTTCTCCCCTGAAGTGTTTTCAGATGATCTCCTTGTTGGCTGTCTGGTTGTTGTTGTTTTATTTTAAGCAATAAGCTCCTAAAACGGCCCCCCTTTTAAGAATGCAGTTATCATAAATCAGCTGATTAAAAAGTGCACGCTCGTTCCTCTTCAGCACACACACACCTGCACGCTTTGTGTGAACATTTTGTTATGCTTCATGAACACACATAACCTCCCTCACAGCTGTTTCTGACTTCATTTGGCTGCAGCTTCGCTCTCATATCTTTGAAATAGAGTACTTTACATGTTAAGGTTTCAGAATGACACAACATGCTGTGACACTTCAATGAGCAGCCCGGGCTTTTGTTCAGTCAAATCGGTCAGATGACCCTGCCTCAGTTTGGGACGGGCATCAACATGAGACGGGGCTTAAATGGATTAGAACAAAACTGATGCAAAGGCTATAAACATTTTATTTATACCAGAACGAATATTTAACGATAAAAAAACAATGATATTGATTACAAAAATGTAAAGTTTACAAATCACTAATTTCATATTTCTTTGGAAGCCAGCCCATCCATACCCATGTGCTGCTGGGGAGAGGGAGAGAAACCTGTTAACCCTCAGGCATCAGTTTCATGTACGACCCTCTTAAGTCACTAAGGACAAAAATGTCCACTTCCAAAAAAATTGCTATAAAAATAGAACAGGTTCATATTTTTTCTACTTTTTTTTTGCATAAATCTCTTAAACAACTTCAGCCCTGCTCAAAACTAATAAATATTGAATAATTATCAGGAATTTAACCCTTTAAATGCCAGAATCATGTAATCAAACTGGCATTTAAAGGGTTAAATTCCTGATAATTATTCAATATTTATTAGTTTTGAGCAGGGCTGGAGTTGTTTAAGAGATTTATGCAAAAAAAAGTAGAAAAAAAATATGAATCTGTCCTATTTTTATAGCAGTTTTTTGGAAGTGGACATTTTTGTCCTTAGTGACTTAAGGGGGTCGTAAACATGTTTCACAGTGTTCTATTGATCTATTCAAAAAATTAAATTTGCATTCCAAAAAGTGTCAAGAGAGACTTTCTTACAAAAATGTGTGCCATATGCACTAACACAGACAAAATGATGACCAGATGAAGAGGTAAAGTTTGACCAAATGGACAAAAATGTCCATAGTGGTGCATGAGGGTTAACATATGTTTGATCTGCAAACTAATCCAAACTTAATGAATAGAGCTGCCTTAATCTGTCAAAACGTGCAGCAACAGGAGCGGGCTACAGGTGAAAGGACGGGGACTTAAGTTGAGATGGGCTTTATTTATTATCTGATAGTAACTTTAGTTGTGTAAAAAAAAAAACATCAGTGGACACCATAGTCTGTAAATATTGTATTAATGGACGAAGCCTGAGTGACGTCAGCCGTCTGGCAGCAGCCGCCATGTTGGAAATCCTGTCTCAGCCTAATTTTAAATCAACCTAACGACAGGCAGAGAGCTGAGGCGGGTTTTAAACCTCCAGACAAACTGTTATATAGCGCCCACCTGTCAATCATGTCAGCGATGTGCCTAACTATAACGTCACTCTCACTGTGGTCAGCGGCCATTTTGAGTCTGTTGGGGCCCAAGGCAAAAAAAAAAAAATCACAGGGGCCCCTCCAAACAGCGTTCATCCCCATGATGTTATAAATAACCCGACACATTACCTTAGTGGAGGTTATGAGGAACTTTTTTCACCTGGTGCTTAGGAGGGAGCTTGACCAATATGACGGGGAGCTATGAAGAGTTGATTTTCATGACTTTATATTCACTTTTTAAGTTTTCTCTTAACGGCGTTAGACAGATTTGTGATGATGCAATAGCGCCCCCTAGCCCCGGTGTAGCGCCGTGCTAGATTAAAGTGTCTCTCGTCCATATTGAGGACTAGACAAGCATCATTCAGTCGTTTACTTTACTGTGAGTGAGTACTGTAAGACGGGGCCCTCTACTGTCTTTCCACTGTCATTGCAAACGTTGCTGTGGTTTAAAGTTTATCAGCCCTTGGGAGCCCCCTACTGGCCAGGGGGCCCCCAAGCAGTTTCCTGCATTCCCTGTTGACAAGCAGCTCCTCAATTAAGGCAAACATGAAACATAAATTTAGTGCCACTAGCTCCAACACTTGTGGTCAGGAGCATACATGTGGTGATAATGTTTCAGCTGAGCTTTGAATAAAAGATGGTGATGAGTGTTTAAACAATGACTCACTAATACACACTCATAGTTCCTCGAAGTGAAGACCTGTGATCAAATATTTCAGTTCTGAATCACACTTTATTTGCTTCTTTTTGTACATTTTTTAAACCTTTTAAAGACTTTAATGAAAAAACGGTTTGGCTCTTTTTATTTACGGTGGTTCAGGTGGAGTGAAGCTGGAAAAAGCTGAGTCCTAAAGGTTGTTCAGTTGCTAATAAACATTTTTTTTATCTTCTCTATAAAAAGGGGGGACACTGATTAAGTCTAACAAAAACACCTTTGTGCTCCTGTCACATCTGTACGCCTCTCTTCTTCAGCTCTTAACATTGAACAAGAGAAACCAAACGCTGATAGCGCCCTCTGGTGGTAACACAACATATTCTTGTCTCATCAGTTCATGCTGTCCATATCTGTATTCATTTTGAATTTAAGGCAATCGTGACATCCACTCTGCACATAAGACAGAACTTTTCTTTGACCAACAAAACTATACAAAGTAATAAAACGAGCATTCCTGATCTCCAACTCGCTGCACTGTTCAAAAAAACTGTTGCATCCAATCAAGCAACTTTCTGCATAAATGTCAAATCACCGTCATCAATCTTGTTCCAGCTCTAAAAAGTTCCAGTGCAGCATGCAATGATGTATACATCACAGAACCAGGTGTTTCTGGGGTGCACATGACCTAGCGGTTTGGTCGCACCCCATTTAGGAGGCTATGGTCCTCCAAGCGGGCGGCCCAGGTTCAAGTCCAGCCATAGTGGCACTGCCCTGCTTGTGACCCTGATTCTCATGCTGCTCTCTGCCTGTTGTAGTTTGAAGCAGAAGATGAAGATGGATGATAGCAGCACTTTGAGTCCAAGACACATTTCCCAAAGCGGACAATAAAATGTGTCATATCATATCATATCGTAACATATCCACTGTCCTATCACATAAAGTAAAAAATGCCCAAAAATAAATATTTAAAAAAAAAGAAGCAGTTGTTTCTAACAATACATTCTGGAAACCAAAACACAGAAAAAAAGCATCCTATAAAAAGTCTCCAATTGCATGTTTGCTTTTCTTTTTTTTTTGCAATGCTATGCTGCCCCCTAGTGGTAAAACAGTATTTAATATGTTTAAGGTATTATATTCCAATTCTCTGAGTTGGAGCGCAGCCTTGAGAAGTTTTTGAAACATGAAAACGTTTTTTGAAACCACAGTCTTGATGATGAAGCCGATGAAATGTCATCAAGTTCTTATCTGATATCTCACTGACAGAGGGGTCGAGATACACCTGAGGTACTCGATGTGGATTTAATTATAACCATGATAAACTGCACTCAGGACAAATTATTTTTTAAAAAGAGGATTACAAATGCGGAATAGATATCTTGAGGCTGTTAATAAAGCTTAAAGGTAAATATGTTCATCATCTCTTGAGCTTCAGTTTCCAACGCTTTGCTTCAACTCCACGAGGCGACCACACGGAGGCGCTCTTTACTCTGTTGAAATGTGACTGAAATGTTAGAGCACCTTTCCGATGAGTTCACACTCAGGAATGAACTCTGCTGAGGAGGTCAGAGAGATTTGAATGACATTCAGGAAACTGTTGATCACTAAAACAAAGTCAGATTGTTTCTTTAAAGTGAAGAATACTGATCAGCTCAAAATAAGGGGATTAGCCTACTTACTAATCATTCTCATCATTAACGGAGTGTGATTTTGTTATTTCCCCTTTCTCTTATCTGTGAACATGAAGCTATTCACTTTCATCTTTTCCATCCAAAGAGAGACAAGCAAATTATTTCTGACTGTTACGGCAGATTTTAGAAATTCAACACATCATCGCCTGGTGGTGTTTTTTTTTTTGAACACCCGACACGATCACCTGCATACCACACATTCCTCTGAAAGCACCGGGCTGATTCAGGAAACAATGGGCTGTGTCTTTTTCTGTTTCTCTTTAAAATTCCACTCTGCTGCAGCAACACACTTTAAACTGACTGATATTATTTATGTTTCATTTCCTCATACTGATTTTACCGTAAATAAACTGCAGTTTCTGATCAGACACATCCCCGAGGAATGGATTCCATTGCCCAAATATGGTCAGGAGGAAGTAGCCTCCCTGATGCAGTCGTCAGTGCTGTTACTTTAAATGGCTTCAGGAAACAAGGGCTCCCACTCACGTCACGGGTTTTCCTCTGCATGTGCCACAGGAGCAGGATGTGCTATATATGGGCATCTGACTCTACACCTCCCCCCCTCCCTTCCCCTCCCCGGTCTTATTTCCTTCCAGAGGAAACAGCACGGTGGGGGATGGGTGAGCCTCTGACTGTTAAAGGCAGCAGAGGAATAGAGTTCAGCTCGGCCGTGAGAGAAGGACTCAAAACAGACACAAAGATGTTTCTTCTCTACAAGTTTCAATCATCAAACTGAAACCTCACAGTTAAAATGTGTGAATCATTCTGAATCATGCCTTCAGAGACACCTAACATCACAGTAATTAAATCAGATTGATGGTTACATTAACATACAGTAGACTCAAGTTATTCCTGTTATTCCACACTTCACATTCTCTTAACCGTGCACACACCTACACAACAGTACAGCTCCTGCATTGCACCTTTTGTATGGTTTGCTTTTTTTTAAAATCATTTTAAGGTTTTTTATTTGAGTTTCTTGAGAGTAGGAGCAGTGCTGTTGTTTTGCCTTTTTTTTTTACATCTTTATTGTACTTCTGTTCATCGTTTGTTTTGCACTAAATAAAGTGTGTGTAAGCGTACATGGCCAATTAAATTGATGCTGATCAGGATCAGTTTAATTGGCCGTGCACGCTTACACACACAAGGAATTTGTCTTCGGTGAACTGTGCTCTCAATGTACAAAAGTAGAACATTAAATATAAACATAAATGAGCAAAGAAGAGGCTGAATAAGACAATAGTGCAATGGTGAGTATAGTGCAAAAATGCTGAGATGAGATTGATAATAAATATGTGATTGTGTAACAGAAGGTTAATATACATGAGGTAGAGTTTTTACAGTATTTACAATAAAGGTGTGTATGTACATGAAGAGGACAATATTTCAGTATTTACATGATTAGATTATTGAACATAAAATGTTTTAAATAGTCTATGTACATTCACAGTTGATGATAGTGTAAGGGTTAAACCATGATCACTATTTTACCATTTTAATGCATGCAAGTCAGGGGCTATTTTTTTCCTGCAACATTGTTTTCACGTTCATAACAAGCAGAGAGTTCAATTCTTTTAATCAGGGTTTCAGTTGATTATAAATGTGTTATAATATGTTTATTTTCTATAGATACTCCTTACATAGTGAGTATTATATAATAAACTGTGCACATCTGTAGGTGCCTGTTTTGAACTGTTCTATTATATATTTTGTAGCTTAGAGTTATTTCCAAACTCTTCATGTGTAAATCTTTTTCTGTATAATGAAAAAAAAAAAACCCAACTCTGCTCCAACACAGTAATTACAACCATCTATATATGCATGTCAGGAAAACAACACTGTTTTTAATGAATGACTGTGACGGAGCATCATTTAAAGGACTGGGTGTAATAAAGCTAAAGTTACATGCAAAGCTGTCCCCAAAGAAGCTGCACTTTATAGTATTCTTACTCAACTGATTTTCCTCATAATAACAAGAGCCAAAACAGTTTTTCATCACAGCCTGACTCTTTTACTCGACATGTAGGCAATGATTGCAAAAACAGGTGCAAATCCAAACTCAGGAGCTGTCTGCATGTACGACTGTTTGTGGAGCATGCACAGTAAAATGCCAAACTATACGCTTCTGGAGCATCCAGCAGCTCAATATATGAAGGCCACATTTCTCTCTGTGAGGTTTAAATACACAAGCGTGTGAATCAAACATCTTTGGAGGTGATGTGAGGCTCATGTGTTTCCTCCTGAATACAGATTTTGGTGTACAATTTAACAGCAAATTAAGCCAAATGACAGTGCTCCAGTTGTTTGTTGCTGTCCTTTTTCTTGCTTGTAAGATTTGATCAAAGCTCCTATGAGGTTTGCAGATTTTTATCACATCAGAAATTCCCCCTCGCATATCTGTTTTTGGAGCCCTGCTCATTTTATAGTCTCAGCTGTCTAACCAGTTGTTTCAGGGCTGTTCTGAAATAGCAACATGACCGGGTATATGAGCCCGGTGGGCGGGGCAACTTCACATGATGATGTGTGCGTGACGTCACCGAGGTGATAAGTAGTTGTCCTGCAGCCTGCTCCGTATTGTGTCTGTGTTAGGAGTCAGAGGGGAGAGTTCCTATTCACTAATCTTTTCCTTCTGTGTGTTTGGACTCGTTTCAAAAACAAGCTGCGACATGGAGGTCAGCGCGGAGGCCAAGAGGATCATGGTCGTGGCTTTGGGGAAACTGTACAGCTCGCGCACCCAGCGAGGTGGTCTCCGTCTCCACCGGAGCCTGCTCCTGACCATGGTGATGAAATCCGCACGGGACATTTACCACGCGGCCCAGGCGCCTGAAGAAACCGCCGAACCAGGATGTGAACACCACAACTCAATGGAAGAAGAGATCACACAGCCTGCCGGTGCTCAGCCGGGACTCCAGGGTCCTCTTCCCGAACAGGAGTCCTCCGGTTCCCCCGCGGAGCTGCGCCATGACGCACACGCGCGCCCCGGCGCAGAAAACAAGGAGAATTTACACCCAAGTGTCCCGACCCAACACTCGAGGAAACGACGGGGCAAAGCAGCCGTGGAGCCGGACTTCCTGCCCTGCAAGAAGGCCAAACTCGAGCAAGGAACCATCATTGTATGTTCCGTTTTGATTGACTATGTGAACTGCAGCAGTGAGCTGGGTGTCTCCCCATCCCCCATACCTCCGCAGAGAATCATTGCAGCGTGTTGAAACCTTGACGAGGTAACGGGAGTCAAACTTTTCAACATGAGGGCCCTGAACGCGTCCCTTCCAGGCCGTTTTGGATAAAGACCCGGGACACTGAGCCATAAAGGTCCCAAACATGACTCAAAACAAGCCGGGGCATGTTCCAGGAAGGGGCCCGGTGTGTAGTCTGTGTGACTTTTGGCCTAGTTGTAGGCCACGGCTCATTACAGGGACTGACTGCAGCCGGCCCAAAGCGGAACTAAAGGAATTGGTTCATCCGGATGAGGCCTTGAACTGCCTTTTTATGAACACAAGAGAGCGGATCTGTCTGCTCCACACAGCAGACTGAACATTTCTGAGAGTGTTGAGACTTTGTGCCAAGAGTGCTGACTGAATATCAAATTGTTAAACCATTCAATAACTACAACTACCTCAGTATTTATTAAAGATTTCTGTTTATGAATTTCGACTTTTGGGTGCTTTTTTTGTTCCTTCCACATTTGTTTAACATGGTATGTGATGCATCTGTGAAGCTTCTCAGGCATACAGATAGATCATGGTCATTCAAAACTTGGTTGTAGCTGAGAGAAACTATGTGGCTCAATTTTAAGCACCTGACAGTGTTTTAAATTGTGCTGCTGTGGTGTTAGTGGGTGATCTGCTTATGATGCAATAATCTCGGTGTGAAAGTATGCGTTTGAGTGTTTGACAGGAAACTGGTTTGGGTGTGAAGAAGTTTTGTTTCCTCCCCCCACACTCATTTGCAGGACAAAAAAAGCAGGAACAATTCAGGAGACCACGGCTTTAGTGAAGGGGGGGAGGAGGTTTTTTTAGAGGCTCTGACTGGCCATAAACTCAGGACAATCAGAATCCCCTGAGTTTTAAAGAAGTGTTGTTAGTGGGCCTTCTGTACTGTAGTGACATAATAGTTCAGGCCAGGCAGTAAGGGGGCAAAAGGTTACACTACAAAGACTTGACTTGTCCGTTGATAGATGAATGACAGAGTGTGGGAGATAATCAGTAATGCTCAAGCTGAGTAAGGAAGATAAGAAGGTTATTTACAGAGAAATGCATTTCTCACACATTTCCAAAGAAAAACGGTTAAGCTCCTGGAAAATTAAACCACTTTCAAAGTCATCGTTTAGAAGTACGAGTGTACACAACAGATATGTGTGTGTGTGTGAGCTAAATCAAACTTTGTATATTTAAGCGCCAAGGTTGTAGGTTTTGGAATGCCCTCACAGAGGGGAGCTGCATGGGGACGGGGGTGTGAACAACAGAAGAAGGAATGTGGGGGGAAGTGCCTCTGGGAGCCCCCTGGGGCCCCCTGCCTATTCTTCCGGCTGAAACCAGAGCTCCCAGTCTGTGTACACAGAGTGGGAGGAGGGGCTGGAACTGTCTGGGCATGCTTGTGAAAATACACACGTCATGCAAACACACACTCGTTCACCTTCTTATCAATTCAGGTCAACCAAACACTTTCTTTACCCTCCCCCCCTCCCTCGTGCTTTCCTTCATACGCAAGCTCAGTGAGCATAAATATGCTGACACATTTATGACCTCCACAAGGCCGAGCTAAAGGCTTCAGATATTTTCTCTGGATATTTTGGTCTTTAAAAATCACATAAAAGTCAAGCATCCAGATCGAAAAAGAGTTAAGCATGTGTGCTGAATTGACTCTGAACCATTAGTGGATATGAGCCCCATTGGTTTGTGTATTTAAAGCTGCATTCACTCAGTTTTTTTTTGTTGCTAAAAATGGTCAAATGACTCAGTGTATTTGGAAGATGCCTTTCAGTGAAGTGACCACCTCACCTACCTACCCGCTGTGCAGTTGCTCTAAGGTGCACAGCATGCTCTCTTAGCCTCATTCTTCTTCTTCAAATTGTCTTATACGTTACATCTAAACTCTCATGAACTCTCTTGCAGCCACAGCAGGCAGCTGCTTCCAAAAATGTGAAAACATTCAATTTACCTTCATGCACCAGACGATGGTCAGACAGAGAAAGGAATAGCTGGTGAACATAGTGAAGCATTTAGCAACTATTTTGGCAGATTCACACTAGGGGTAAATGAAAGACACAAGATGGTTCTACTGCCCTCCAGTGGCCACAGTGACAAAACAATTCAAATGCAGCTTTAAAGCATAATGGAGCACTTTTTTTTTCACGGGTAGGGTTTGATCAACATCTCTCCCATCTTTCTCTTCTTTAAATGTTTTAGCCTTTATATGTATCCCTTCCTGTATTAATTCTACTGCTCTCTTAATTCCTACTCCTTTTATCGTTTAACTCTTCAGCTCTCTGTTGCTTTATTCATTTAACCAATGTCCCGTTTACCCCTTCTGTTTACAGCCTGTGATGTGATGTCGTCTCACTCTCCCTCAATTTAAATTTTGTTCTCTCCTGGTTGATTTTAAACTCATTTTCCTTCATTGTACTGAACTGCCTCTCCATACCTGCTGGTTGAATCTATATTATTCCTGTTATTTGCATTTTTACAATTTTGCCCTCTCTGTTGATCTCTGTTCTGTTGTTGTTTTGCTGTATTTGCTTTGTGTCTGTCACAGCACTTTGTAAACATTTGTTTTTTAAAGGTGCTATATAAATAAAGTTATTATTATTATTATTTTCAGTGAAGCTTCAGGTACTACGAGCCGAGCTGATGCTAACTTTGGCTCTCAAACCGACTTAAGTCATAGTGAAAAATGTGGCTGCTGCATTCATAGGCACTTTTTAAAGCACAAGTGTGAAAGCATGAATAGACAGCTGGAGTGTCGCAGGTAAAACATGAGCCTCCTGCAGGATGACAGAGGAGTTAATGTGGAAATAACACATTTAACCAACACATGTCAGAGTCAGGAAACACATCCTCCCACTGTGAAAGACAGAAGCAAGAACAAGGACAAGAAAGGAGACGAAGCAGTGTGCATTCTCTCTGGATTTTATTCTTTAGGAAGAGTTCTGTTTGGAATTACAAAATGCACTGGTAAGAAATAGCGGTGAGACAGGTTGAGAGTGTGACAGATAAGAGTGTGAGAGAGAGAGAGAGAGAAAGAGTTAGAGAGAGAGAGAGAGCAGGAGTGAGTGAGAGATCAAGGGTTCAAGGCCGCCATCATCATGAGAACATCATCATGATGGCTCGCTGCGGCCCCCTGACCCCCACAGAGAGGAGAGGGGAGAATACACCATCGTCTGAACTGTACTTTTTTTTCTTTATATTGATTTTTTTTTCATTAAAAACAGTTCTTTTTTTGTGGTGTCCTGAACATGGTCGTGTTGTGCCTCAACCCCATGTAACAGAAGAAATCAAACGAGACTTACTCTTCTCACCAAAGCCTCTTTTTTTTCTCATCTTTAGACTTTTTTTTTTTTTTTTTGCATTTTTATCCTTTTTTGTTCTCAAAAATAGAAGGAAAAAAGAAAACGTTGCTTTTTAAAAACATCTATCTATTTATATATCTTTTTTTTTATTCCTCTGAATTCATTAATCTGCTTTTTCTTTTTATGTCCTGAAGATGACTGTTAACCCACGGTGTGGCATGCACATAGCACATGCATTTCTGGAACTAGATATTTTTTCCTTTTTTTTAAATCTTTTGTACTTAAAAAAAACTTCTTTTTTTTCTTCTCAGTTGCGGCTTTACATTGCTTTTTGAAGACTTTGTGTGGTTAATCAGCGTGTTAGTGGATTTCACTGCAGCATTGACACAAAGATGGGTGGGTGAATGCTCGGGATTTTGCCTGTTTCATTCAGGGGATACTGACATCTCACACACACACACACAGCGCACACACACACACACACACACACACACACACACACACACACACACACACAGAAGGTTTAAAAAATCTCTGGAGACAAAGATTAGAAAGAAAATCAAGCAGTGAAACCAAAGCATAAAAAATAATCAGAAACACACTCACCCATGTACAGGCACCTACTTCCATGCGCAAACACACACACATACACACACGCGCGCGCACACACACATACACACACCACAACCAGGAGCTACATACCTAGTGTGCTTTCTGATTTTTAAGTGTAGTGATGTGAAAAAATACTCGTCTGTGACATTCCACTGAGGTTGGAAAGACACTAATAGGCAGTTTTTTTTCTTTTCTATTTTTCGGTGCATTCCCTGGTCAACGTGTGATGGGCCTCTAAAGTCAAAGAAATCAAACACATTTAAAGTAAAAAGAACAAATGTCGGGGCTGACAGTGGTGTGCATTAGTGACCAGTGTTAGTTCGAGGCACACAGAGATAAACACTTATAAAGAGTGATCCACAGAACAACAGGTGCTTTTCCAGGAAAACACAAAAAAAAGGCCCAGACATCTTTTCTCCAACCCGTCTGAACAGTGCCATTCAGTCGTCTGTGTTTACACAAGGTGAACACAGACAAGGTGCTCTACAAGTGAGAGAATGAGCTAAACTGTTTTCTTGGTGCACTGAGTCTATGTTCACTAAAGGGAGAGACACTTAAAAACTCAAAATTTGTCATATAGCGCCACCGCGAGGTCACATGAAGTGCTGGAACTCCGCTTCAGCGTCTGCAGGAGGGCAGACATTTATTTAATCGAGCCGCTTTCTTACATCGATATAATCTTCATGTGTCGGGGGGAAAAAAATGACAACAACCTTTTAGTCTGCTTTTAGAAATCCCCGACCCCCCCGCCTGCCCTCCTGCAGACTCAATCCCCCACAATGCATCTGTGGGTTCGAGCTCCACCTCAGGGTTGGAAAAATGATTAGCTGAGATTAAAAAAATAAACACATACAACAGAATATTAGACCAATCATGGAGAACCTGTCTCATTATCACAAACATCATAATCATCATTATTACATCATCTTTTTTATCCGTTATTTACGGTCAGTGACAAAGAAAACAAAGATGAAGAGTTTCTCTCCTTCCTGTGCTTTTCTTTTTGGTCTCTTTCTCTCTAAAGTCTCTGTTTTTAACCCCCACACCCTGGAAGACTTTAAAATGTTTCTGATTTGTTGGACCCGATAAGGACACAGCGTCCTTTAAACCGCTTTACCCTGCTTCCCAGTGTTTCATTTTTCAGAGTATCACTTTAGTTATAAAAAAGTTACTTTCACAAAAAAATCTGTGCAATTTCGAGCTGTATCAGTGGCAGGCATCTGGCACGGAAAAACACAGACAAGCAAGCAAAACGTAATCATTCTGTTCCTTCTAGAAGTAGATAAATGAAATATCCGATCCCCTCTGTCACTTGATTCGAGTGTTTGTGAAGGTACAGAGAGAGGAATGTCCTACAGAGGAGAGAGAAAGAGAAACAGAAAGAGAGAGAAACCCTAAAGACCACAAGAGAAATGACCAAGTAAAGTTTCCCCCCGCATACAGTAGATTCTCATTGTTGCTATTATTAGTATTTTTTTCATTCATGCAGGATTCAACAGGGTGTACAACTCCGCAAGTCTAAAAACCGAAGCTGTGTGGGGGTGCAACAGAAGATTCAAGCTTCAATGTTTTGAAGAAGTAGAAGAGAAGGAGGAAGAAGAAGCAGGAGTAGAAGAAGAAATACTGCAAGAAAACAGTTACTGGTTTGTATGTTTTTCTCGTTTCTGAAAACCATCTCCATTTTTTTTGTTTTTCTTCTCCCAAAGGTTGCAGAGTCGAGGGGTTGGTGACATTGTTTGTTTTTTGGAGGAGGGTGTTCTCTGGTGTGCGGCCCCCCCCCCGACACACCCATCCGGTCCTCAGGATTTTAAACCGAGGGGGACCTGTCACCCCGTCGAACACTTCCCAACTCTCCCATCCACTGAGCCTTCTCACCTCATACAGGTGGAGGGCTGATTGATAGTTTTTTTATTTAAAAACACAGATGATAAAACTCATCAATATTCAACTGGTGGCTGGGAGGGTTGGATTTGATTCTTTTTTTGAAGCTAACTTAAATGAAGTCAGCTTCAAGAGGCAAAAAAAACAAACAAACAGCGGTTGTTCTTTCGTTTCAGACTGTTAAGTGTCTCTTGTCGAGTCGCGACTCTTGACATCTTGTAAGTGGCTGTAGCTCTTTGCCAGAGGCATAAATTTAAGACACACAAAAGACTCTCGTCCATCAGCTCTCTCCTGCTTGCATCCTTAAAAACTGCAGTTTGAGGTTAAGTCTTATTTGGCATCAGAGACGAACGCGTCGACGCTGCACGCAGATCGTGGAGGTGATTTGTCCTTACACCTGACACATTTTTGTCTCCAGATGCTGCCTCAGCATTTTTTATTTCATCCCTTCATCCTGACACCCGTCCGTCATAACGCCTGACGTTCTGGGACGTGCCACCCAGAGGAAGAGAGGGAAAGAAATTGAACGGACAAGAACGAATATTCATGGTGTCCCCTTGGCAGTCAGGGCTCTGGCTCAGAGCTTCCTATTTTCTTTGTTCCGTCCGTCCGTCGATCAAATCTTTTTTCTAATTTAAGCCCCTCCCCCGTCCCCAGAGGCTAGCACCAGTCGTCAGCCTCCGTGTCGCCGTAGGGTTCATGCAGGCCCTTGCGGGGACCCCTCGGATGCCCGGCTGGAGGGGGGACCTTGTGAGGTCCGGTGTGTGGCGGTCCGTGGAGGTGTGTGGAAGGCGATGAAGAGCGGTAGCCGTTGGGGAGGCGGCGCTGGGCGGCCTGCTGCATCTGTCCCTGCCCAGGCCCGGTCAGGGCGGTCGTGGGCGGGGGGGCGTGGTGGACAGTCCTCGGTGAGGTGCGATTGGGCTGTTGGTGGGGCGGCGGGTGAGGATGAGGATGAGGATGAGGGTTGTTCACAGGATGGGACTGGGGGGGAGGGAGGGGATGGGGGTTGTGCGGTTGTGGAGGAGGAGGCAGCGGGTGATTGGCCAGAGCATGTGGGTGGGGGTTGCCACCCTGCATGGGGCTCTGCTCGTAGGCAGGGGGTTCATGGTGGGGCTCATAGTCCTGGTTGTAAAAGCAGGCGTCCCCTTCCATGGAGCCGCCGCCTCCTCCACCTGTGTCTCCCCAGCGAGCGGGGGGGTGATGACCCTGTCGGGGTCCGCCATGATGAGCCATCGGGGGGCCAGTAGGGGGAGGGCCCTGGCCTTGTGGCGGCTCAGGAGAAAAATGGCGTGGGGCGGGGGCCGGGGGTCGACCCTGTGGTCCCCCGGGCGGCGCGGGCATTGCCTTACGTACAACAGGGGAGTAGGTCACATGAGGCCGGGGGGTCGCGGGGGGTCTGAGGCAACTGTCTTCGACCTCGACGTGGCGTACTGGTCCCCGAGGTCGAGGGGACGGGACTCCCGCTGACCGAACTACTGCCCTACACGAAAAGTGAAATAAAGCAAATAAAAAGAACGAACCAACAAATTCAACGACAGAACATGTAGAATAAAGGAGAGGATGGGAAAGAGAGAGAGTCCAGAAAGAAAGACAACAACAAAGAAAGCACGGCGACGAGAAGAGAAGAAGCACCAGAAGAGAAATGACAGGCATTGAAAAGTAAGAGAGGAGCAGAAGAGGTGGATAAAAAAGAAACAGATTCCAAACAGCAACCAGACATGGAGAAGCAACATGTTACGCAGAGGAAAGGAAACAAGGAAACAAAAGACAACAGGAGAAAAAAAGGGTAAAGGGTTGATTTCAGGAGCAACAAATGTGGAACAGGGTCAAAAGAATCAAAAAGGTGTTTCTCTCTTTTTTTTTTTTTCTGTTTTACCAGAGCTCAAAACATGATGAGTTCTAAACAGTTTCTACTAATAACACAAATGTCCACATTCTGATGGGAGGAAACCATCCTTCCCCAATTCATCGTCCTGTGCAAGAACTTTCAAGTCATAATATGAAACATCCGGCTGAACACCGGGCGTCTCACAGGTTATTTTTGCTAAGGTTTGATTTTGGGAAAGGATGCCGTAGTGAGGGGGAACTTTTAGGGTCTCAAACATTCAGGGAGGACAGAAGTCAGGAAACTCAAATATACATTCATAATGTATATTTGCTGGACTGTTGGAACACAGACGGTTCATTTAAATAAAAAACATAACTTTTATTCACATGAGAATTCCCACAAATATAACGTTTGTGTGCATGTTGTAAAATACAGATTTACATATGAATTTCTAAAAAGATTCATTTTGCCAATTTGAACGCAGCTGACATGTTGCTTATGACGACAACACACCTCGGCCTCTAATTCAAAGACAGGAGCGAGTAGTTAAAAAGTCCTGTGATTGAACTAGAGACTGTTCTGTGATCTTTTTTTTTTATTTTTTCTTAAAGGCTTTATATGTGACTTTTGATCCAGCAGATGTCGCCCTTGAGCACCAGCATGAAACCAAAACAACTCGCGATGCATTGTTGTGTTAGCATGCTAATGCTAGCGATCTTTATTATGCTCGTATCTTCACACTGCATGTAAATTTACCTGAAATGAGCGTGATCTAGAAACACAGTTAAGCAGTGAGTACAGTATGTTATTCTTCTTTTCTCTAGTCCCTCAATTAAACAACTTTTATTTGCAAGGGGAGGAGTCAGCCGGCCGTCCCGGCGATGTAAACAAACTGAAGATAGGACTCGGAAAACTCGGAAAGCATCACAGACAGTGGGACTCGGGTGTTACAGTCATGACTCACAGAGTTATTTTCAGAGGATATACTTGATTTCTATTACATTTAAGTGTTAAAAATCACATATAAAACCTTTAAAGATTTATTTTTGGGCTTTTTGTTTCTTTATTAGAGAGCTAGGACAGTGGATAGAGTCAGAAATCAGGGAGCGAGAGAATAGGGAATGATATGCAGGACAGGAGACACAGGCTGGATTTGAACCTGGGCCGCCCGCTTTGAGGACTATAACCTCCATACATGGGGTGCGTGCACTAACCACTGCGCCACCAGCGCCCTGATTCTGTGATCGTTTTTTAGTGTATCCCTTAAAATGAGTGAAAAAAAAACCTCATGCACACAAATCCCCGTTAGCCCACCTGTCTGTGTGTCAGGCACTCGCGTCCCTCGCTGGGCGATCGAGACCAGCGCCGGTCCCTCTCTCTCTCCCTCTCCCGGTCTTGCTCTCTCTCGCGGGAGTGCCTGTGTCCGTACTCGCCACCCCGCTCTGCTACATAGCGCTCTTTGTCCACGGAGCCGTGGTGGTGGTGGTGATGATGGTGGTGCTTGCGGTCTTTGGACCGGCCGCGATCCCTGTCCCGGTCCTTGTCTTTGAGGTCGCCTGACTGCGTGGTCGTGCTCAGGTCTGTGCCGAGGCCTGAAGGTGCAGAGACATGAGTAGTGTAAACAGTGATAAAGATTGTTTTGATATAGGCAACAACATAATACCAAACTTAAAGAAAACATAAGTGTGGGGGTTTTGTTCTGCCCCACCTGTGTCAGCCTCCGTGTATCGACAGAGGGACCTTTCAGACGCCCGATGACTCCGCTCTTTTCGCCGGTGTCCGTGTCTGGAGGTCCTCCCCTCCTCGGGCACACGCTCCATCGTGTAGTCGTCCGGTCCTCCTTTGTCCCGGTGTCCACGCCCGGACCTGCTGTGGCCCAGAGACGATGCCGAGCGCTTCATGGGACTGCTGTCGCTGATGGTCTGAGAGTGAAAGAAAGAGAGAGAGAGAGAGAGAGAGAGAGAGAGAGAGAGAGAGAGAGAGAGAGAGAGAGAGCACCATGGCAGGGAGGGAGAGAGAGGGAGAGATGTTTCCTTTGAATGTCTGTTGATGTTTTCTGAGAGGTAACGGGTGTGTATGTGTGTTTATGTTTGTATGTGAATGAGCTCTGTTGATTTTACTCCATGAGAGCCAATCTGTCCTCCTCCCACATCACATATTCACACACCCCTGCATTTATAATAACCTCCTAATCAATATGCTCCTTTAAAAAATATAAACATGAGATAACCCTTCCCTTCTGGAAAAAAAGAATCAAGTGGCAGGTGTGTAGTCTTCAGCCTCGGCTTGTTTAAGCGCTCATACTTTTGAAATATCCAATCGAACACAGGCTGTTAACTCTTTTTCCTTAAGCTGAAGTACTCTCTCCCTTTTGAATTTCTTTGTGTCCTGCAAAGAGCAGCTTCATCAAACTGTGTCCTTACCTGCAACACAGACTCCTCTTTATTCTTTAAAGGTATAATATGCAAATGCCGTGCCAGTAGAAGTCACACTTTAGCACCACTCAGTACGGTAACATGCAGATCGGGAGAAGTGGCATTACTGTGAGTCGGACGAAAACTGGACTTTTTCAATAATGTTAGACCGACTGAAATTATGTTGAGATGAATTTCTCAAAGACACACATGGATAACGTGGTTGCATGTAAACACCTCAATCAGACCCAATCTGGACTCGGGGTTCTGCACATGTTTCACAGTCCCGGCACCGCTGGGAGCTGTACAGTTGTCCATGTTTCAACTTTCAACCTACAACCAGTTTGCAGCTTGCTAGCTTGTTAAAACTGGAGCAGGTCCAATAGTAAACCAGCTGAAAGCGGGGCACCACCTTATTGAGTTTTAACCTTCATTCTGATGTGCAGCCCAAGTGGATTTTGTTCTTATTTCTTTCAAGTATTTTCGACCAATCACAGTGTTTTCTTCATCTCAGAAAGTCTGTTTGGTTGCCCTGCAATGTTGCTCTACTCCATCAAGCTGCTACAAACAGCGTCCCCGAGTGGGCGGAGCCATCTCTCTTCCCCCACACGGTGGCAGGACTAACGGTTAGAGAGGGAAAAAACATGCATGGAACAAGTTCGAGCCTCTGGGTGAAAGAAGCACCGTCCCGTCGGAGTGAACGCAGAGGTCAGAGTTTGACTTCTCTCTGTGATATCTCCTCTATATTTCTTAAAAATCTTGCATATTACACCTTAAAGAATTTGAGGAATTCAGACGTTTTTCTTCAACACCTGGGCGAGCCACCAAATATCTCCTCTGAAAAAACGGCTCAGGGTTTTAACTACACTAACTGCCGATCCCTTTTACAGAGAAATAAAAAAGTTGCACAAGAGAAAAGAATAAAAAAAAAAAGAATCAGATAGATGATGGCAAATGGCCATGCCTTCCATGCGTCTGGAGTTGCTTTGTAACAGAGAAAAAAAAAAGGGAGTAGAAGGGTCAGTACGACTCGCAGCAGTCCTCCATCCTCACCACCCCCCTAAACCCCTGAACATGGAACATTCCAGGCTGCACAAACTCCTCTACTTCTGCAGTTTCAATACAGTTTTATCCAGCCATGCAGGCAGCTACATAGGTGTTGTCCTGAGTGCTCATGCTCTGATGTGGGGACAGCAGGACAGAGCCTATGGAGCCACACGTTCTCTGACCTGGACATGTAAACCATATCAGGCTACTTCAGTGCTAGATCTTTTAGGCAGGCGGCCTGATTTTCAGAGTTAAGTGACAAATCAACTGGTGGATGTTTTTAAAAAAATAAAACAGATTATCTGTCCTCAAAGAAGTAGCACTGAGAATCCCAACAACACCTCCATTCATACTCGATCACACCTGAATCATTCCTCGTTCATACTCTCGCCATCTTCACAAACTCTCACACACTTTTAACTACTTTCTTGCATGCAAGTAGGCAGGGATGAATGAAGACTCTTAACACAGATGGGGAGACATAGACAGCATCGAGTACACAGGCATGAAGACACAGAGCAACAAAGCACAAGCAGCTCAGAGAAAAAGAGAGACGCAGAGAGAGTGAAAGGACACACAGAGGCCACGAGACAGTGTGGCATGATGGTTTACAACGACAGGAGACGTGCAGAGTACGGCCCAGAAACCAAACACACATTGCGTTTGGTGCATGACACTGGAAGCTAAGGATGCTGGGATTAGTTTGGGAAGCTGGGCTGGCATAAGATTTTTGTCATGCAAAAGAGAGTTCTCTGAATATATCTTAGAGACGGAAAAAGCTTCCCAAGATAAAGAGACAACATGGAGACATGACGGATGAGGAAAAACAAGTTTCACAAGGGAGAAGAGAGAGAAAGAGAGAGAGAGAGAGAGGGAGAGAGAGAGAGAGAGAGACGAGACAGGGAAGACAGGGTACATACACTGAGGTTACTGCCACGTTGTTTCCCCTTCCTCCGCTGCTGTACGAGCACAGAGAAGACACACACACACACACACACACACACACACAAAGAGCCACAAATACACCAAAGGAGTGGACACACATGGAGCACACACACAGAACCAGAAAGAAGAAAGAGGGAAGGGAGGAGGAGAGGATGGTTTGATACACAATGGAAGAGAAAAAAAGGGGGACAGAGGAGCACAATTAGGTGGAGGTTCAACCAAAACAGAGACGGGGGTGCCAGGGTGGAGAGAGAGAGAGAGAGAGAGAGAGAGAGAGAGTGATTAGACACCGAAGCTGCAGTGACGGTGGAAGAGAAACACTTACCACGGACACGAGGGTGGATGGTGCCCACACGGGGTCACAGAGACAAAGGTCACCATGAAAAATGCTCAATCAACAGCAGCGCGGTCACAACAGCAGTGACGACAATTAGCAAAACACACACACACACACACACACACACACACACACACACAAATGGATATGCATCGTCGCAAACACGCACAGGTACAGTTAATTCACACAGCAGACAACAGAGTGACAAAACAAAAACAGAGCACAGTGAAAAAACTACAGAGCACACTCGTGTAAACAACACACACCTCCCCACACACACACTTCTGTAACACACACACACACACACACACACACACTCGCACACATACACACACACACACACACACACACACACACACACACACACACACACACACACACAATGACATGCTGGTTCCAGTCCTGGGGGGGGAATAAAACCCCCCCAAAATTCATAAAGAGTTCAGCACAGGCAAAAACCTTCGATAGAAAAGGAAGAGACAGTTTAGTACAAAAAAAGATAAAGAAATCAAAAAGAAGAAGAGGAAAATAATGGAGGGCACAGAAGTGTGCATGTGTGTGTGTTTTTGTATTTATAATTATGTTGTGTGAGTATGACAACCAGAGCGCTCACCAGAATATGAAAGAATATAAAATGGATGAGTGTGTCGGGTGGAAAACGGGACGATCACAGTTAAAAAAAACCAAAAAAAAAAAACCTGCATGCATGTGTCAGGATGACAGGAGACAACAGGGGGAGAGGAGAACAGAGAAGCAGAAGGTCTGACTTTGTCTTGCTGTGATTCCTTTTGAATCCATGTCTTCAAGATTCAGAAGAATTTTTTAATCTGGATTAATTAGTCTGTTAGTCTGTCGGAATATTCTCATTCTGCACGTTGATCTGTGGCAAAAGAAAATACCAACGAGAAATGCAACGATCCTAAACTTCCTCCCTCTTGGATTAAGAGCAACCACAGCAATAAATGTTTGAGCGACAAGTCAGACATTTGAGAATATGACCGTTTCCAACCAAAGCGGGTGAGGAACACAGAAAATGGGGGGGGGGGGAGAGTGGAAAGGTGAGAATGCTGCTCACTTGGTTGTCGCCCGGGAGGCGGGGCATGGAAGCGGCCCTGCCATGGCCTTCCATTGGTGGAAAGTGCTCAGTATCCGAGTAACCATCCTGCCCCATCTCTCTCATCTCTACCGTCTGCAAACAGAGCAGGAGAGCAGGAGATGGCTGCCATGAAAACTGAGAGGGAGCAGGGGGACAGGTGGGAGAGTTTGTTATCCAAAGAAAGCAGAGAACCGAGGCTCCCAGGGAGGTCAGAGTGGTTAGTGGGAAAAGCTGAGTGAGTGTGTGTGAAGAGGGACTTTATCGTCTTTATTTGTCCTCATATTTCTTAGTCTAGCAATGAATGTAAACAAGGGATTTGTGGTCGGGTCTTACAGATCATTATCAACATCTTATTTTTGTGTTTGCAAATGTTGCTTTGAGAAAAGAAGCTGCTAAAATAATACAAAGATCCTTTGTCTACGGCACGATGTGGGGGAGTCAATCGAGGACAAGCTTGAGTGTATTCCAAAGAAAATTTAGAAAAACATACCTGTGCATTATTATTACCCAGGTGCATTGGGAGAAGGAAATGATGACAGTCTAAAGAATTTACATTAAGAAAAATGTGCTCTAAAATTTAGTAACGACGTAAGCTCTTCAATACATGCAAAAGTCCAAAACAAAACACTACGACAGAGACGCCCCGAATGAAGACAACATGATGCAAAGAGCCGAAAGAAACTACTGTATAAACAGCAAACACGCTGCGAAGTCAGAGACAGACACGAGCCGTTTTCACTTTCTGTGTCTTGAAAATTTCAGACAGACTGCCCCTGAAATCATCCTGAGTCGCTTGTTCACACAGACGCCTCTCAGTGGGGGGCTATCCGTCAGTGGGCGGGGTCCAGATTATCAACATCACCCCCTCCTCCTGCTTGATCACAGTGAATCTCTTGCTGCGTTCTCACATCAGCTCAACCCATAATCACATGGAGAATTCACCAGGCGACCGGCAGGAAAAACTCCAGGTAAAGTCGGAGTGAAACATTCTAGCTTTTTGTGTTCACACATGCAGCTTTTGTGCAAGTGTGAAAGCTCAAACAGAAAACTACGTCGGTGTGTTTTTAGTTGTTGCATGTTGTTTTGGATTTTTGCATGTGTTTTTGAATTAGCATTTAGCATTAGCACTCCTTATGGGAACTGTTTGGGTTGTTGCAGATTGGTTGCCATCCTCCAGCAACATTTTGGTTTCCAAAGTGTATTTTGTTTGACGTATACTTCCAGAAGTGGAGCTAAATATGGCAGCGAGGGCTTCAGTTTAACTTCATCTCTTCAGCAAAACTTCTGTTTAAGTTTACAATATTAGCTGAATTAGCCTCCACGCTAACAACTAGGAAATTAATTTTATTTGCATTATATTAAGTGTTCTTCTACCACATGCGGTCTTTGCTTGCTGCCCAACGATTCAGAAACCAAACAACAATGAGGTGAGACTAACATCCTCTTGTTGTTCTTTGTGTTTTATGATGAGCCCTCTTATTGAGCTGTGTGTAGCCAAAGCTGCTCTCTTCTATCAAACTCAGTTTAAACATCTCCAGACCTCTAACAGTGGATGTGGAGAGGTGACCTTGTAACACGGGCCGACTCCAGGAGGTCTACAAACAGAGAGGTTTCATATGATGACACCCTGAAGACGGTTGAGGGATGAGACTAGTTATCCACATGACGATGCTAACTGAATAATCAAGGAAAGACAGATCGCAGTAAAGCGTTACAGATGGGCCAGTATGAGCTCTGAACCTCTTTGTTTTTTTGTAATATGGCTGCGTCAGATTAAACAGTACATGCAGTATTTAGAAGCAGTGCTCTTCTTTTCATTAATGATGATGTCACGTTGACCTGATCGACAATAAGTAGCTGTATTTTACGTTAACCTTAGTTTAAATAGAGGCAAACACAGACCTCAGGTCCTAATTATAAACCTGGAAGGGGCACTGGTTTCCATGGCGATTTAAATCTGTTACTGTTCGCAGATCACAGTTTGTTTTCCCGTTGTATCGTCCTCAGTGGTTCTTTTGGATTTCATTTGGCAGCAATGACATGAAAGTCAGGACAAATGTTGAATGGATCGAGTGTTTGAGTACTTGTCACACAAACTTAATGAATACAATCGTGTGTGTGTGTGAGAGTGTGTGTTTCAGTGTGCGATCCTCAGCGTGTGTGTGTATCTGAGCTTTCTACCTGAGAGTTGCTCATGCTTCCCAGGCCGTCCTCAGGGTGTCCCTCAGGACTCCAGCTGCCCACCTTCTGGGACATCTCCTGAGCACGAGCCGTCACCCATGATTGGCTCTCCGGGATCCCGCTCCCACCGGCCTACACACACACACACACACACACACACACACACACACACACACACACACACACACACACACACACACACACACACACACACACACACACGCCCGCGCAAACACACACACACACCATCAAAGACACAACTTTCTTAACGGCACCGCTCTCATGTCCTGTAAAGTAGAGCATGTCATCGTCACACACTCACAGGCTGTTGGCCGTCTCTGTTGTGTTAGGCGGAGGCAGAGCGTTGTTAAGTCCCGGACCCCCGTCCTGGGTCGGGGAAGGTGGCTCCACGCGCTGAAACAGTAATGGTGTTCGATTCTGTGTGAGATATACAACATGGCCGTCGCCAGCTATCAGGCAGACTGACAGGAAATGGAGGGAGAAGGAGCAGAGCAGGAACAGAGGACATGTGGAGAGAGAGAGGGCGGGCTGTCGGCTGAAGCAGAGCGAGGCAGAAGAGGTAATGCAGGAGGAAGAAACGAGGGGGGGGGGGTAACTTTAGAGCAACTGATGCCCAGCAGCGGGAGAATGAGATGGTTGGACTCAAAGTGCACTCTGGGACCTGGAAACCCTCTGAGATGTCCAGGTCCAGATGTCAAACCATAAGAGTGTTTAATAAGATCCAATAAGGAAAGTATATGGATCAGTAAACATTGCGGGTTTCATCTGATTGGTTTAATGTCGTAATATCAACTGAAAAATAAAAATAAAACCAAAGACGTTTGCAGAAGCAGAGGCATTGCATTAAGAATAAATCGGGGAGTGATATAGGAGGGGCTTCGGTCAAAGGAGGGATTGGTCATCATGGGAGATAAACACTGCAACAATCCTGCAGAGGGGAACATAGCAGGTGAAATGCATGATGGGACAAAGGGCTACATTCATTGTCAATCAAATATAAGTCCTCAGAACGACACTATTACCTTTTTTTTCCCCATAGTTTTAAAGCAGCTATTACCTGATCCTAAATAAATGATGGATGAAAAAAACAAACCTCCAGTGTCATTCTATACATTTCTTGCCGAGATGAGATTATGTCCAGAAGGGGCAAAACATTTTGAATGAAGTTTACGGGGAAGAAGGTGCGGAACAGCACTGGGTTGAAGCAGCATTTTTGCAACCATATTTTAGTTAGTTTGTAGAAGTAGTTAAGATGAACCTTACGTCTCTCTGGTGCAGCAACCAAACAATGACACAACTTCTTAAGTTACAAACTAACTAGGGTGAATGCAGGGGTTAAGTGTGGACTTTACACCAATACTTAAGACACAACTGATACAGAGGTGCTGCAACAGGACACGCTTAACCTGTAACGACCCTAAAACATCAGATCTGATACGATGCTATAATATGATATGAAGATGGAATACAGCAGAATTCATGTCAGCTAGCTTTGTGCGTCTCTTCCTTTGACAGGGAACAGCTTTGTCAGAGTACAGAACAGTGCAGCAATACCATGATGCAAATCTTAACTGTCCCAGGTTACAGGCATGGGTGAAGGGGAGTGAGGAGGTACAGAATCTTTTCAAGCAGTCGACACGGGAGAGAATCAAGCTGAGGAGAAGGAGCCATAATGAGCGCTCCTGTGACGTAAAAGGCACGGGCACCTCGGGGACTGTGACAACTCTTAACCTGCTTAACACCAAAACCCCCCGATATCTTCAGTCATGTAATCCACTACATAGCTGTAGATGCGTATGACCAAGCGCTTTAAAGAATGAGAAATTCCTAAGGGGAGGTTCTTTCTGCACCGTGCCAGTGCTACGATCCCTGTGAGAGCAGGAAAGTTACACATTTGTGCCACCAGATGGCAGCACTGGTTATGGTGTTAGAAGAGGGGCAGTGCATATAAGAGTTGAGATTTGCCCCATGATCATGAATGCCCATTTTTAGAGGCTGAATAATGATCCCTGGATGTGGAGAAGGGTTGTCACAGTCCTGGATTTTTATGAATGGGGTTACAGCCCGGGAGCCTTGATTTCAGTGCGTCAGTCTGCCTTACACTTTAAGGGGTCGGATGCAAAGAGAGGAGAGTGTTGTTCTCTTTGAGACACCAGTACCTGCTCATCCCGAAGTGCCTGTGAGCGCTTGATTTTGCTCTGCCGGTAGTACTCCATGATCATCATGGCAGCGTAGATTTTCCCAACCGTCAGGTCTGTCGCTGCTGAGAGAATGACAAGTTACCCTGCAAGATTAGACCCTTTGGTATGGACCCTGAGCGCGAGGAATGGCAGAAAGGGGTGAGGCGTGCACACAAACACAAACACGCTTAAACTCACGCACACGCACACATGAACATTGAGCATATAGTCTTTTCACAAACAGATCTTTTTTTTTTCTTTTTTTTATCTATATTACTTGATTGAAACTCTATATTGCATTTATATTTGTCACAAGTAAACTCTTGCAATCAAAAGCAACTCATTCTGATAAATGAAACAAAATTCAGTCGCTCCAGAAATCGGCAATCATCCGATCGCAAGAATCAACACAAAATTAAAATTTATGTCATTTCAAAATGAAAGAAAAATAAATCAAATCTGTGATATCTGATTGAGACTATCACTGTCTTCTTTTGACTCGAATGCAAATGTAATAATAAAAGCATGAAATGTTTTTCATAGCTTTTGGTTGTTTTGATAGCATATCACATGCATTTCACAGTCTTAAGCATTCACTGTTTTATGCAACTAGTGCATTAGCACACGTGCATTTGGTCTCAGTGTAATGACACTCAGTAACTTCTATCAAACAGCCAGCCAGTAACTGTACACAGCTGACCGCCCCTGGAGTGAAAAGACGTCTATAGAGAGTTGATCTATAGTGAGGCACCCTCTGATTTCAGGCACACACAGGTGAGGTGTCGGGAGTCTCGGTGGAGCTGGTGGGGAGGGACTTGTTCTGGTGAGTGTTTCTGTGGCTGAAAGGAAGGAGAGGAAGTGTGTGTGTGTGTAGTTCTTAGTGTCTTCCAGGCTGCCTGAGCTGTATTGGTGAATCTGTTTACACCTGGTATTAACCATAGACTGTATAAGACATGGACGTAGTCTCCATGACATCATTGGTTTCTGAGGAGGCTTTTGGAAGCTGAAAGATGGCGGTGGCCATATTGGAAATGCTGACTCGTCCTATCTTTAAGACAATCTAGAAAAAAGGCATAGCAGTGAAGTTGAGGTGGGCTTTAAGCATCCTGGCAAACGCCCGCCTTCCTTGGGTTTCGGAGCCTGCCTCAAGTGGACATTTGAGGAACTGCAGTTATTTGCATTCCTCAATGGTTCATTTTTCAACCCTGTAGGTTGCAGTTTGGTATCACCATGTATCCTGAGTGACTCAATCACAGGTGGACGATCCCAAGAACATGTGTAGACACTATGACCACCCAAACAACTGTGTGGCCACGTGTCTGAGACATACATGTATGTGCTCCACGCTACACTGAGGGGCCGTATCCTCACCATATTTAGTGCAACCTTAACTCTACTTACCTGTCATTTTTACTGATGTCTTCTCAAAGTCTAAGTCAAGTATGCACGAGCAGGCTGTGCACAAATCACAGCTTACATGAATTCAGGTAGGATGTTCGATGTTTAAAATACAATGTAAACATCGAACACACCTCGATAATGATAAAATAAACTGGCCAAGGTGTTATGCCCATGCTCTACATTTACCATGCCGGGCTTTAACCCCGAAAGCGAAACAGCATAAAAATGCATAGCATAGCAGAAGTCGTGCTGGCGTCTGCCTTTGGGATGCATGAGCTAAAGGGATAGCATGCATATCATTTGTACCAAGAATAAAGCGTAGAAATTTACAATGTAAAGCTTTTGTTTTTTTTAAACGTTTGACATCCTGTACAACCAGTTTGACGCTGGTTAAATTCTGCTAAAAACTGTTTGGTGTGTGATGCAATAGGTCGACAAAGAGGAAGGAAAGAAAGCCGAAAGGGGCATCACACCTTCTGTAGTGGAGGCGGACATACTTCAATAAATACTCAATACTTCAGTACTAAAATAAATGTATACCAGGACTGGGACAGAACAGAAGTCCAATGAAATGACCTAATCGAGCCATGACCGTGGCTCAATTCATACTGGTCATACCGTACTCACAATCAGCTGTCAGAGGACATATTTTAATACCAGGTGTAAACTTCTCAGAGCCATTGTTTGTCTTTCCTCGTGTCCACATAATGACGTCTTTACAGACTTGCAGTATGTGGGTGTGGGTAAGAGGGGTCATGTGCCAGCTGTATCAGAGGGTGCAGCAGTGACAGAGACTGGCTGAGAGAAGCGGTTTCCTCGGGTGGCGTGAAGAGAAACATCGTTGGAGCACTGGGCGGGCGCAGGGTGGCTGCATCCGAGGCCACATTTTCTGCACCTGCACCCACACTCTGCAACTTACACTTGTGCGGCGTAACCAGCAAATCCAGAGTCTTCTGGGACAGATTGGGCCAAATCGCCATCATCTCCTTCCTCAGCTCTGCGTCCATCTGGTGCTTGTCGACGCCACCTAGTGCAGATTCAACGAGCACGTGCACGCACACACACACACACACACAAACACCCATGTCCAAGAACGTGGACACATTGAAATTCAGATGCAAATGTGTATAAAATAAGCACACAAACCATTCACACACATTCAGATTGATAGAAAAGGTATGAGAGGACAAACAAACATGAAAACAGAGAGACACAGAAGAGAAGAAAACTTATTAAAAGGGTCAAATAGCAATGATGTCAGCACTGAATTCAAATGTCAACATTCAGCCTCACACACACAGACAGGATGTACTGCCATATCAAACATTGTACTTAAGGTACAGAAGGAGAAGCATCAGGGAGAGCTGACGGTTTCTGGATTCTAGCAGACAGCACTGAAGGCACCAAGAAGGAAATCAGAAAAAGAAGAATAGAAAAAAGGTGAAAATTTGGAGAAAAAGGAGGTAAAGGGGGTTCCAAACCTTCCGCACCCTTGGCGATCTTGATGTCCAGGGCCGTGCGGATCAGGGCCATGAGCGTGGAGTTGAAGTGGACCGTGTTGTCGTCGGCAACGGGAAGATCCATGCGGAGGAGTCTCTGTGGGGGGGAGCCAATCAGTGTGGGCGGTGAGGAAAAACCAGGAAGTAAGTGGGATGTATGTGGAACCTCCAGGTGACAAGGGGGGAGTCAAGAGAAGGGGGTTGGGGGGGTAAGGGAGGGGGAGTTTGGGGTAAGGGATGGGGTAAAGGGAGCATTGCATAGTGTCTGTAGCTGACTCTGACTCCGTCTGCCTGTCAAAGATGACTCAGACTACGAGGATTTTCTTTTTAACTCTTATTTTCTGATATGATAACCTGTGAGTTTAAAGGTATTTAATGAAGAATTTTCTTCTCGATTTGTCCCTTTACTAAAATTACAACTTATTTTAAAACGGAAGCTTCTAGGTATGTTTTCTGACCTCTAAAAGATCTCACAGGTTGTCTACACGACCAATCCTGAGCCTTCTCCTGATAAAACAACATCAGGACAGACTGAGAAGCAGCCACTCCTATGCAGAGCTCCCCCTGGGGGGTTTTGGAGGTTCACAGTGAAAAACCACAAAGACCGGATGATAAACCAATAAAGCAAAAACAACCAAGGGACCAATCTAAGGAGAGGGAACACTCTAGTTTTCGTTTATTGGTTTCATCCTTTAAGGTCCTGTTGTTTTTTTTAAATTCAAACAGACTTTACAGAGACACACACCAACTCACTGAGGCCAGAGTGAGGTCAGTGTGTGTTTGGTGACAGGATACGGCGACCACCCCAACATGCAGCATATCATGCCTCCCACATATCAAGCTTAAAAATGTCCCTCCTTTAAAAACTCTTTTAAAACCTTTATCCCCCCCCAAAGCCTTCTTGCACATCTCACCCCCATGCAGCATGCGATGCACATTATGCCTCACAGGACAAGCAGCTGCGCAGCCGTACACAGAGAGCATCCTCTGTTGGCGACATTAGAATGAGTTTGTGAGTTTTTTTAAGCTTTTTATTGAAAAAAAGAAAAAATTGGTAAAGTATGGGGGCTAAGCTGGAGTGATAGAGTAACTAGCTCTATCTCTGATTATCTGAAGTCTAAGGTGTGACGAATGGGCATGGACTTAGAGGGTTAACAAGGTGAGAGAGAGCAGTGTTCTGTGGAAAATAAGAAAAAAGGCCCCCATGGAAATCAAAATGGTTGATCGTGTGAATATAATCCAGAGATAAATGTCGGAAATATGAGGTGAGGAAATATTTCTGCTGCCAGAAAAAGAGATAGTTGAAGGGGGAAAGCTGGTGATAGAGGTGTTAAAATCAATAGATTAATAGGGTTATGATCAGGAGTGAGTAAAGAGAAGAAGAGACTAAAAAGAAAATGAAAAGAGAAACTGATAACGAGGAGATAAAGAAAGAAACATCACCACACTGTGTCGGCTGTGTCTGTAAGAAAGCGATCCTGCCTGAAGGCTCTGCTGCCTCTCTTCAGGACAGAGAAGATCAGAGGTAAAAAAGCAGTGGAGCATTGTGGGTCATTGTTCTGTGGACGGGTTGGAAAGTCAAAGGTAAGGTTTGGATTGATCTCATTGGCTTAGGGAGAGTGGGGAGGAGTAAGGCATGAACACAGACATGGCAAACTTCTGGAAACGTGATCCAGAAACAATTATGTAAGTTATGTGTTTGCCATAGTCATGCATGTAGGGTGTTGTTAAGGCTGCTGGACAGGGGGCGCTGAGGGCATTCCTTTAAGTTCAGGGAGGAGGATTTGAAGAGAAATGTACGAGGGTAAAACTGAAAAGACGAGGAGAGAAAGAGAGCATCTACTCTAAGGCTGGGATTAAAAAATGAAAACATGATTCTGTAAGAAAGAGACAGAGGTAAAGTAGCAAAACCGGGTCAAATAACACGACTCTGTCCAGATAGTGAGGACAACTTTGGACCGCAAAGGCAAACTCGTCTGTGAAGATGAACTGTGTTTACACCAATCTCAAGTCAATAACGTCACAGCAGTTGCACGCCCATCATGGTGGGCCGAAAAAAGAGGAAGAAAGTGGACAGAAAAACGGAGAAGAAGAAGGACAGATCCCAGATGGTATGACGGGAAAAAGGTGTCCTTTTGCCGTTTGATGTCTGCAGGATATCGTCGTCCAAAACGCCCTGGACGTGTATTGTTTCTGCAGCACGACCCTGACCTCATCAGAGCATGAATTAGATGTAAACAACAGCTCTAGATGATGTTCATTCATCAGCCCATGACATAATATTTAGACCCTATGACTAAAGATAACCTACACTAGATAGTAGATTGGAGCAGCAGTGGTTTACTTTATTCTAACGTGCATTAACACCAAGCGCTGGTCATGTTCAGTAAGTCGTTGTCGTCGGACTTGTTTACGATAGACTACGTCTTGTACAGCTGCGTTTTATGGCCTTGCCGCTGTGCTTGATACACAAAAACCGTGTGACAAATCTTGTTTTAAATGTCCTGGACATGACCGAAAAATTACAAAAATTCAATACATCAAGAGATTTTTGCGCCTTCAGTTTTTTTCTTCAGTAAAGACGACAAGTTATGTCCCGTCACTTAAAGGAACTGCGTCCTTAGTGATCAGTACTATTTGGCCCGGGTTCTGCTGGAGGACGGAGGAGAAGGAGGTTGGATGAGGCGATGGTCAGCAATGGGAGTGATCTCCTGTGCCTACAGGCTGTGTGGCCGGCTGTCCCCTGAGGCTCACAGTGATCTGCCAATGATGTCTCGTGATGCTGTCAGGTTCGATCACAAGGGGGTGTTACATGAACATGTTGTGACGTAAAAGGTATTGTTAGTGGTCTAAATCTTTTACTCTGTGTCTGTGCTGAGTTATTTTGACAGACAGGGGGTGTTGGAGGTTATCGGCCATGCAGAAGGCAGGTGAGGGAGTGTGCATGTGTGGGGGAGGGGAGCAATATGCAGAGATGAAAGAGGGGGGGGGGGGGGGGCTGGAAACAGAATAGAACTGCATTGACGACAGAACCAAAGGACAAAAGAGAAGATTGGACTTGCAGATAGAAAAGGCTGCTGGGGGTGGGGGAGGGGGGGGGCTTGGAGCTGCTTACATGAAGGGTTAACAGAAAAAAAGAAACTGCGTCTGTATGGCAACCAAAGGCTCTCTGAGGAAAACACACCACTGACACAAGCCCGTCTGCTCTCTCTACCATTAGGAGTAACAGGTAACACCTACTGTACTGTGAAGGATGATACAGCTGTAATTCTGTGTGTGTGTGTGTGTGTGTGTGTGTGTGTGTGTGTGTGTGTGTGTGTGTGTGTGTGTGTGTGTGTGTGTGTGTATGTGTTTGTGTGTCTGCCCCATCCACAGGACGGGACGTGTCAGAGGACGTAAGTCTGCAGGACCTTCCAAGCCCTGCTGCACATGCATGTTTCTGTGTGTGTGTTTGGAAGTGTCTACATGAGGGAGACGTCTTATAAATCAGTATCTTGAATATTGTTATGTACGTAGATGTTTCAACAAACTAGCGTCACTTTACATGGAGAAAAAAACATGATTCCGATGTTATGGTAGTTGTTTGTAGTGTGATTCTTTTGCATGGACGTGTAATAATGTGTGATCGTTGTGCACTGTGCAAACGAGCTGAGAAGGTCCCTCTTTTCATCCCCTCCTGTGGATACACATCCCCCGCCCTTACCCTTAACCCCTGATTGTCTTCCTACCTCCACCCACCAATCGCACACCACCACACAAGTCCACAACACCGATGAGCCCACCCCCACTTTCCACGAGGAGAAAAAGGAAACAGAACCAAAGAAACCACAACACTAAAAAATTTACACCACGTTGAGCGCTCAGTTCCCTGGCCCCCTTCCCTCCCTCCCTCCCCCAACACCTAAAGGAGACTCGGTGTGAGGATGGGGTCCTTTCTGACCTTGTAGGCCACCCGTGCTGGACACCTCTTCCCGAGGCCCAGTGGAGGACACATGTGCCTCAGCATGTCATACATTTCCCTGCAACTGATCCTGCCACTGCATCATCATCATCAGCCAGTTCCATCAACCCGCCAACAAGAGCACAGAGAAAGGGAGAGATGGAGATGTTCAGAGAGAGAAGATGGAGCAGGAGAGAGAAAGATTGAGAGTGTCACAGCATCAAAGATTGAGAGGAGAAAAAAAAGAGAAGAACCAAAAGGAAAGTGAAAGAACAAAAACAACAGAAAGAACAAGGTTATTGGGCTGATCTGGAGAGGCAGTGAAGGCGCGGCGTCTTAAAGGAGCTCAAGAACTCAAAGATTGTCACGTCGTAAAAAAGAGAGGGAGTAAATGACAGAAGGAGGGGAGACAACAAGAGGAAAATAAGGATTAAATGTTCTCTTGTAATATCAGAAAACAATACTCTGCAGTAGGAAAAAAGATATGTGTATGTGTGGCAGAGCTTGACCTGCTCGGATGAGGAGGGACGGGAAGGTGGAGGAGGAGGAGGAGGAGGAGGAGGAGGAAGAGGAGTCAATGCAGTTTCTGTCTTTCCCCCAACCCCCAAAAAACCAAGAACAATGCAACACTACAGTGGGCAACCGTAGCTTGCTACATTATAGCCATGGCTCCACAGCAAGCAAAAGAAAAGAATACTCAAAAGAAAAAAAAGAAAAGATCTTTTTTTTTTTTTTTTTTTTTACAGTGTTCAAACTTCTTAATGTGGATTTTTTTCCCCCCCGCCCCATTTCACTGAGTGCATTTCACATGCTTCTCTGGGTGTCTGCATTGTCCCGCACATTCTCTCAGCAGTTCAGAATGCAGGTCGAAAATGGTTGTAAAAAATTGAAATGAAAAAGATAAAATAAAATAAAGCGGCATTCATTCCATTCCCCGAATGCTGTGGCTAGCAAAGTGTGCTTGAGAGATTTTTTTTACTGAATGGAAGTCAAACCTTGCAGGCCACCCTATGAGGGCATTTCTTGCCTAAGCCGAGAGGCGGGTCGATAACTCGCAATAAACTGTACATGTCCTTATAATGAATTCGCCCGCTGCAAGAAGAATACAGGGGAGTTAAGAAACACACACACACACACAAACAGAAAAAAACACACACAGATCCAGAGAGAAGAGAAAAAACATTGGGAGGAAGAGCACAAGATTGACAAATACACAGCATCGGAAAATACTTGAATGTGTTTATTGTAACTAACAGGCTCTGTGGAGTTAAGTTCATTTCGACCGCCCTTTCCTCCCTCTCTCCAGTCCAACCCCCTGACTGGTTGTGTGTAATTAAAGGATTGCAAACAGAGTAGAAAAGCATGTGCTTTGTAAACAGTGACTCCCTTAATAGCTGCTTTGTGTGCCGTTTCCCTCCCTCTTAAATATGTGTTCAGCTGGGTGACTTTTTGTTCCCTGTGCTCTGCGGCACTCGAGTTATAGTCAGTGAAGAAGGGGTTAAAAGAGCGTGTTAGCATGTTGGGAGAAAAAAAAACAAACGTTACATTTTAAAGCACATTTCTGCAGTTAAAACAAAAAGAAGTTAAAGGCAGGGTTGGTTATTCTGGAAAGACCGCAAGATTTGAAAGGTGAAATATCCTCAGGGCTCCGTCTAAACTTTAAAAAGCCACGCCCTCCCCCCCCCACACATGCATGCACGAGCGAGGACCTCAACTACCTCACGTCTCATTCAGCGGTATGAAAACTGAATGTAAAAAACAAACATGACTTCGAGAAAGACGGCTAACGTGGCGTCACTTTTCAGACCCTTCACCTCCCTCAGCTGTAGCTTTATGAGAGTTTCCTCTGGTTTACCTAAACTCCTTCTCATGCCGCCTTCTCTGCTTCTGTCTCTCTCTTTATTTAGCGGTGACAAGTAACCATGGCAGCGGTCATTTGAGCTAAGCTAATTCTGCAATCCTCTGGTAGACGTAGAATACCCTCAGTGGCAGTGAAAGGGTAGAAAAGCACAGGGAGGCATTTGATTGGTTACTTTCCATTCTGACCTCATGGCTGTGATAGGTCGTAGTTTATACAGGATTATAGCAGCGAGAGATGACCGCTCTTTTCTGTCCTCAGAGTATGATTTAATAAGCTGATGTCAGGGTGTAAATACGATTTATACAAATATATTAAAAAGTGTTTGGATGTTGGATAAAATGACCAATCCTGAACATTTTATCTGTCCTTTCTGAATATTGCCATGGATCCGCCCGTCATTCTCTTCTTCCTTTTCCTTTTCTTCCCCTGGTTAGAGCAGTCCATGTGCAGTCTACGGGACAGCACGAGGGCAACACACAGGCACTGGAATACAGATACCATCAAACGCAGCACGTCTACAGAGCTGCGACACGGGGAGCTTGTGTTTGGAGCGTAGACGTCGCCGCGTTAAGTTTTCAGCAGTATGCAGATTCCAGAGGTGGGGACACGATTTGGAAGGGTTTGGGAGGTGTTTGAGGACAGGAGGAGGTAGGGAGGGAGGGAGGGAGGGGTTGTACGGTGTGAGAGCGAGATAACCCTGATGAGGTTATTCTCAGATCCCCCTTGCAGCTCTCTCGCTTGAACATTAAACACAAGGTCGCTGCTTTTCTCCTATTTCTATTTCTACACTCTTTGAAACATATTGAGCTCATGTTTTATGCAATAAAAACACACGACATAACTTATGATTTGATTTCTTTGGCTAGTGTACAAACACATCAAGCAAACTTGTGTTGTTGCCTGCCAGTTTACAATTAGTTGTGTGTATCTGTGTGTGTATGTGTGTGTGTCGTCGTGCACCTGAGGGCGTGCACGTTACCACTCACCAGGCAGCAGGATCATACTCGGCCCATATCCTGACATACTCATCCAGGTGGTGAGGTCCCAGGATGGATGAATCCCTAGTCAGGTACTCAAAGTTGTCCATGATGACGGCAACAAACAGATTCAGCATCTACACACAAACACACACACGAGAAGAGTTACAGATCTGATGGGACACATGATAGTGATCTCTGAATCCTTTACAAGCTGTGACCACGAGCTGCAAAGAATCAGAAACACTGCAGAAAGAAGAATCTGACCAGGTCTCGTCTTAAAGATTAAAACAGAATAAGAGGGCGACTATCACAGCTGGACTCTGCAGACGTAACAGAGTCTTATTAGTGAAGTATTGCATTCACATTTTCATGCAGGATGTTGCCTTATGCAAGTATTCACACGGTTGGGTTAGTTTTATTACTGTGTAACAACCAAATTTATTTGGATGTTTTACCATCAGAATAACAAACATGAGCAGTCCAAAAAGAAGATATGTGTTGGGATTCAAAGCAAAGTACGGAAGCCCTCAGCAGACATGCATCAATACATTTTATTTTACTCCGTTTCAACGAGTATATTCTGGTTGTTTCCTCGAGCTCTGGACTCAATTATCTCGGGATGAAATAAATAAATGCTGGTTTCCTGTGATACGAGTTAGTTTATGGAAATCCTGAGAAATTGACTCAGAGGAAAACCAGGGTTGTTACTCCAAGATAAAGAGGTCAAGATCTTGAAAAAAATGGCCGAAATGTAAGGTGTCAGATGTTGAGACCCCAAAACACCCGATGACCCCGGGGCACATCACTGCCGATGTGTCCAGGTTGCACCACCAGGTGTATGTACATAGAATTATTGTACGTCTGCTTCTCCTTTTTTTTTTTTGATGCATTTTTTTTTATTTAAGAAAAAATAGAAAGAAAAGAAAATACAAAAAAGCATTGGGCATAAAAATTTGACAACAAGCATTTCCTTTTCTTTCCCCCCACCCTCATGCTACCAATACAAAGTCTATATGTAAGGTAGTAACTGTACAGGGAATGATAGTACTATTTAATACATAATACATACGAAACGAAGCAAAAAATAATGATAATAATAATAATAAAGAGAAAAAAAGAAAGAAAGAAAATAAATTAAAATAAATAAATAAGATAAACGCAAATGAACCTTTCACGAAAACGAAGCAAAAAATAATGATAATAATAATAATAAAGAGAAAAAAAGAAAGAAAGAAAATAAATTAAAATAAATAAATAAGATAAACGCAAATGAACCTTTCACGACAAAAAAGAAGAAAAATATACAGACAGAGATTTAAATATGTAACTGTTGTGGATAATCACATAGGTTAATTTACCTGAGATCATATTATTCATATTGTTTATATATTACTACAATCTAGGATGTTAAGTGCTGTCTACTTCTTCTGTAGCAAAACACTAAAAGATTTTCATACATTTTGTAAATGATTGTGAATAATATGTAATGCCCCCCTTTCGACATCAAAATCAAACTGATTTTAAAAGTCACTGCATCATAAAACAGTGACACAGAGCAGATGTGGGCGTTGCATTGTGAAGCTTTGAACTCACCAGGAAGGAACAGAAGAAGATGAAGGAGACAAAGTAGAGGTAGGCGAACTGGCTGCCACACTCTGGATCTGTGTTCCCTGACAGCTCGTCACAGTTCTTACCCCCCAGACACGCCAGCATGATTTCATGCCACGCCTCCCCTGTTGCACTCCTAAACACAGACGAGGGGGAAAAAGGGTCCTTGATTTATGATTTGGAAGATAAATGGAGAAGGTTTAGGATTTTAGAAAACCTGCATTTTGTTTAGAAGACAAGAAGTAAATCAACACAGTTTCAATTCAGATTCATGGGCACACAAATGCTCTCTCTCTCTCTCTTCTCTCACTCTCTCTCTTTATCTCTCTCTCTTTCTCTGTCTTACTCTCTCACTCTGTCACTCTCTCTCTCTCTATCTCTGTCACTCTCTCTCCCACTCTCTCTCTCTCTCTCTCTGTCACTCTCTCTCCCACTCTCTCTCTCTCTCTCTCACTCTCTCACACTCTCTCTCTTCTCTCTTTCTCTGTCTTAATCTCTCACTCTGTCACTCTCTCTCACTCTCTGTCACTCTCTCTCTCTCTTCTCTCTGTCTTACTCTCGCACTCTCTCTCTCTCTGTCACTCTCTCTCATTCTCTTACTCTCTTACTCTCTCGCTCACTCTCTGTCACTCTCTCTCTTCTCTCTCTCTCTCTCTCTTTCTCTGTCTTACTCGCTCACTCTCTCTCCTCTCTCTCTATCTCTCTCACACACACACACACACACACCTGAAGAGCAGCATGAGAGCCTGTACGAAGGTCCTGAAGTTGTTGTGCTGGTTGATGGCACTATCTTCCTCCTTTTCCAGTTGAATATTCCCAAACAGCTGTTGAACCCAATCAGTCAAAGTTAAACACTCAGAGACCAGCGGTGATCATCGGGCGACCTCCCTCATCCTGACAGCGTGGCTTCAACACTTTTAAAACCTTTTACTGCCGTTAACTCTTCCATCATGATCCTGTTATGCACCAAATCCTCACGAGGATTACCATCATCCTCATCCCCTTATCTACCTCTTCCTACCTCCTCCTCCTCCTCATCATCATCATTATCCTATAACAGATATTCAGTTCATCCCAGAAGGACTGTAGCAGTTTTTAGGTTGAGCTCTCACCCACCTGCATCCCAATGATGGCGTAGATGAAGAACAGCATGGCGATGAGGAGGCAGACATAAGGCAGCGCCTGAGGAGAGACACAGTCATCGTTTGGTGTTAGGGTTTGTGACATATTAGCGCACTCTGTATGGATACATGAGGCTGTAGCGCATCATAAACGGTGCGCTGACTGGATATGAGTATTTCTCTTCGTTCTTGGAATATCAATGCAATGTGATGTCTGTGTGAGTTGTGCTGTATAATTGGGTTTGAACCTTGAAGGACTGAACAAAGGTCCAGAGCAAGATGCGGATGGTTTCTCCCTGCCTCAGCAGCTTGATGAGACGAGCCGCCCTGAACAGCCTCAGGAAACTCAGGTTGATGAAATTATTCTACAGTACAGCCAGAACATACCCGCAGATAAAAGAGAGAGAACAAAAGAGAGAGACAGAGACATAGAGGGGGGCGGGGGTGTGGACACAAGAGAAAGATGCAAGAAGGAGGGTGGATGGATTGGGGATAAAGGGGAAAGACTGGTTAGTCGTAATGCAAAGAGTGCAAAAATATTTACCTCAAACAATCAGATCAAAAAAAAAAAAAAAAAAAAAAAAAGAGAAATCAAACCGAGGGGAATTTCAAACTCAAGACAAATCAAAGAATCGGGAGCCAAACAAGTCAAAGCAAACCAAACTCAAATCAGCAAGGCTCCAACAAGCTTTTCATGTCAGTTAAATTAGGCAAAACCAAACAACACAAGGAGGGGAGGGGGGTTTGGGGGGAGGGGAGATCATCCAAATCTAGCTAGTTTCATCCAATCGGGTTATGTAGTAGTAAAATCGTGGGAGGAATGGTGAGTAGTTAAAAGTGCAGGGATGTCAGGACATTTCCTTGGAGGGACAACCAAATGCACTAATTCTCTCAAGGCAAAAATATGCAACCTCGAAAAGCAAGCCCTACAGCATGCAGATGTGCACCTCACAATGCAGAAAACCAGTCAGACCGATGGCAGCTGATGCACCATCCAATAGGAGACACCCAGTAGTGATGATGTCACAGCCCAGTATAGAGCAAGAAGGTGGTTGAAGGACTAATTAAAGGTCGTTAATTTATTTCAGTCTGTGTGATGTTGTAACACAAATCTGTGCGACAACGTTAAGCCAAGCCATACGGGTATGTGTGGCATTTTAACATTTGTGTTATTTCTTAAATTAGCATCTTAATCCTGTTAATTATGAAGTTTGGGAATACAGAGTTCTTCAACCATGTACCACAGTAAGAACAGAAGAACGCAGCTGAAGTGAGACTTTGAAGGGACTGGCAGCAGGCACATGCAGGTTTCATCTACACTACAGTGTGTGTTACATTGTTGTGTGTGTGTGTGTGTGTGTGTGTATTTCAGAGTGTGTTGTGAAAAAACAAAAGGGTCCCAGCCAAAGACATGCAAGGGGCAGCATGCATCACTTGTTCTCTCTGCCAGGGGGCAAAGCTGTGGATTCACTCTGCTGTTACTGGAAACACTCCACTAGTCACTGTTTATGGAGAAGCATATGACGTGTGTGTGTAAATCTTAAAGGGACAGGTTTTTTGTTCCAGATGGTACAAACCAACACTTTACAATCTGAGCGTTTGTTCCATTTAAAGGGATGTTCAGTCACGACCAATGTTGCAAAGTGATAAGTGTTAGGGCCTGTGTCCAAATGCCGCTTTTTTCTGGGCAGAAAAGCGCCGGCTGTGCACTCGGGAGCGCTTGCATGATTTAAAGAGCTGCACGTCCATTCCGATCAGACATGATGCAAAGAGGATGTGGGTACAAGACACGATCCGTAGGCGGCAGAACTACGGGGAATATTATGATACATTTTGAAAAGAGCGCTGTTGACGTCAGTTTTGATGATGTCATGCTTCCATCAGAATCAGAATCAGAAATACTTTATTAATCCCAGAGGGGGAATTCGGTGACAGCCTCGTTCCATGTGCCAACACGTCACTGCGCAAAATGTACTGAGATTTCTTTTTCTTTTTACCCTTAACGTAAAAAAAACATGTTTTTCTGTGCCGTGCTGCTGGCAGCCAAAAAACAACAACAACTGTACTACACATGTTGTTTAAAATAACAGTGCAGCATAGATTTTTTTGCCACAATTCTTTCCCCCAATGAGAAACCAATTCACGACCACTTTTGGGTCCTGACCCACCAGTTGAGAACCATGGCTTTAGAGTACTCAAATGACTGTGTTTGTTGTAATGTGCAATGTGACGAGTTAGTTCTCTCTCTGTTATGCAATTACTTTTTTTTATAAAGTGATCTGTTACTGGAATAAAAGTGATGTATTTCTGTTTCCCTTTTTCTTGCGACATGAATAGAAAATCCTCGAAGCGTCGTCAGTGTTTCTGTTTCTCTCCTAATTCTAAGGGCAGGTAGGTGTGGACCAGCAGAAGGTTAAACCTACAGGTGTGTCACAGTTGTCATTTGCTCTGTGGGAATATCTGCTTTTTGTTGAAAAAAGAAAATGGACAAAAACTGCATGATGGTGAAATGTGAGGTCAAGAGCTTGTGTTTCATTTTTATTCAAACAGCTGTGCCTCTGCCCAGGTCACCTTCAGATCAACAGCATCATAAAGAGCTGTAAAGGTTATCACGTCTGTGTATTAAGCTGCAGAGTTAGAGGATGATGAGCTGTAAAAGTCGATATATAACCCACATGTGTAACGACGCAAAAGTCCGATTTAATGCAGCCACAGTAACGAGTGCGTTACCCAACATGGTCACGACAGGATTTGTAAAGAATATATGAAGAGATACAGTGACTGGTGGAGAGGGAGACTAAGTCAAAAGTTCACTCAGTGTTGAGGAGTTTCAGGTGTTTGGGTGGGGGGGGGGAGGGGGAAAGAGAGGGCGTCAAGCAAAAACATGCTCATTTCACAGCTCTAACATCGGCTGGGATGCAGATGCAGTAAAATAAGATCTCCAAAAAATTACAAACCATCTACATGTGGATGTTGCAGACATATGGTTTATAGCGGCAAATTTTTGGATTTTTGGTTGGTTTGAAGAACAACCAGAGAGATTTGACCAAGCCGGTTGTCATGGGGTGGACACAGAGGATTCATAGTGCATTTTGATTGGACGGAATCGCAGGAAGTAGTAGTTGATGGGGGGGAGGGGTTGGAGAGGGAGGGGGGGGGGGGGGGTGGAGAAGGGGGTAGAGGGGGGAAGTAGATTACAGAAGATCATCGTTAAGTTTGTGGACGATTTAAAGAAAGCATGTAAAAAGATAAAAAACAAGAAAGAAATCAACAGTTATCACAGCATCACATGTACAGCAGGATCAACACAGCAGAGGATTGGTGTACAGTATTTTCATTTTTCTGGGAATAAAACATGATTTTATTCTGGTATTGAGGCAGAGCAGTCAGTGAAATATTTAACAGAGTCTAGCCTCAGACAGAACATCAGCTAAAACAAATCCATCACAGTGTCAAGCTGTTGAATGTGGTCTTGCAAATAACACATATTTAACTATGTTTTAAATACTTGGATTCAAGGACGTCCAGACATTGAATCATATCTGACAAGTTCTGCACATCGCCCTCTCATTCTGCAGAAGAGTTCATGTGAAACTGAAACTCTTAAAAGTTTGTTCAGGAAGAAATGAGCAAAATTCTTACCTTGTGAATTCACTCGATGTCCAGACATTAGCTTTAAGTTAGCAAACACATGCATCTTTTTTCCTTCTTCTTTAATCTCTCATTATGAACGTTAAGAGAAGTATTCATAAAAGTCCGGGCCGACGGGGAGCATGCATTTTTTTTACCCCGGGTGACATATTTTCAACTGATGCCCTCGCGCCTCAGTTTGTCACTTTGCTGAACGAATCTTTATCAGCTTGTATAAATAAAAATGCTTCAGAAGTCTCCCTCTTTCTAGATACAAGATACACACAAACATCCCAGCATGCTTCTCAACAGTTTCACAGCTATGGGTCACACCATTCAAGCAAATAAATGAACCCTTTTTTTGTTGTTGCAATGTGGCCTTTGTTGAGCTTTCTGTTCCTCACACAGCCACCTTTCAAGAGCTTACTTTAGCAACGATCTGCAGGAGGTCAGCATTACATTATGAGTTTACATTATCTCACAAAGCCTGATTATGTGCTCGCATAAAGAGTAAATGTATTATTTAGTTGCTTATATCAAACACATGTATCCGACCTCTCACTTGCAGCTATGACGTTAAAATGAGCCCATAGCTTTAATCTTTAATATTCTCTCTTTCTAGTCCAGTTGTTGCGTTTGTTTCTTCCCTCAGTTGTCTGATGGACCTTCAAGACACAAACTGGAATTGATGTTTTGGACACCTGAGATGATATCTAATGATTTGATTGGCTAACAAGACGCCTGCCTTCGCTGTGCAGAGGCTGCTTCCTGCCCTCGCTGTCTGGTCTCTCCTCATTTTCCACCAACTGGGACATTTATATAAGACTTTCAGGAGACGTTCATGCATGACTGAGCAATGCAAGATCAACAGCGGCTCTAACTCATGCTCTCTTTAAGCTCCACGTCTGCTCTGCTGTATGTTTGCAGACAGCGGGACAGATGTGCAAGCACAGAGACGAATTACTTTCTTCATAATCACTGACTTAATGAACTTTCTTTCACCCAACAAAACATACGCTAATACAGCAACGCGCCTGTCTGTTCAGTTTTCACTCCTCGGGACAAACAAACGCAAAAAACATTCATGTTTGAGATTCAGCTACTTACCCCGAGCTCTGTGACCAGGATGTCAGTGATGCTGCCCAGAACTGTCACACAGTCAAATATGTTCCAGGCATCTTTAAAATAATTCTGTGAACAGGAAAAAAGAAGACAGATACAAAAAGAGGAGAGAGGGAGAGAAGGGTGAGATGGACACAGAGAAGGAGGAATAAAATGGAAAGACAGTGAAGAAGGTAAAATGAGAGGTGAAGAAAGAAAGAGTCAGACAAAAGTGCAATACGAGTTCTTTTCTGTTGAATTGTATTTAATTATTTTGAGTATTTGTTATGCTCTTGCTGTTGTTTATGTTCTTCTGTGTTTGATTTTGCTTTGTTCTTGTTTTTGCTGTTTGTCAAAGCACTTTGTAAACCTGTGTTTTTAAAAGGTGCTATATAAATAAAGTTATTATTATTATTATTATTATAAAAGAGAAAGAAGGAGGAAGTCAGTGTCGGACAGGATCAGGGAAGAAATGAGATAAGACAAATGGACCGTCGGTGACGCCATGTTGGACTTGTGCCAGGAGACGAGCTCAGGACAACTTGTACTGCATCAGAACAGAGCGGCCATCAAATATCACACACTGTACGTCCCTGTCATCGAAAAAAAAGCAAACCAACGGACAGAGAGGCAAAAATCAAACCCTACCACTACTCTGCTCTCCTACATGTCATGAACTGATTGCACATCCGCGTTCATATAGGGAGAAACATGAGGACAGATTTTGAACAATTTTGGCTTTTAAAGTTGACTGGACGATGAGCGATGTCTGCTTTGCTTTGCTCTCCTACATATATCGCCTGCAGCCAAAGTGTGCATTAGACAAGTGGAGTTGAAGGGGGGGGTTAGAGCGAGAGAGGCGGCTTTCGAAAATAAACCACCTTGACAATCTGAGGCCTGCTGCTATTTGTGTGTATGATCATGCAGAAATCAAATCCTATCCTGCTTAATCTCCACCCTCTCTATGTAATCTTTGTGTCTGACTTTTCTGCCTCTCTGTCACTCTCCCTCGTTTGTCTCATCACTGCATGACTCCTTCCTTTATCCCCGCCCAGCATTCATCACTAAACTCTCTCTACTATCCTTTCCCCCCCACCCACCCGTCTGCTTCTCTACCAATCCTCTGCTGCTCATTATTTCCTCGTTATTTAGTCTTAGACGGCAACGGGGCGCTGGTGGTGCAGTGGAGCAGTGGCTAGTGCGCGCGCGCCCCATGTATGGAGGTTGTAGTCCTCAAAGCGGGCGGCCCAGGTTCAAATCCAGCCTGTGGCTCCTTTCCTGCATGTCATTCCCTACTCTCTCTATCTCTCCCTGATTTCCTACGCTATCCATTGTCCTATCTCACCATTAAAGGCTTTCTATGCGATTTTTTGATCCAGCAGATGTCGCCCTTGAGCACCAGCATGAAACCAAAACAACTTACTGACAATTAACAAATTAAAAACATCCGGAATCCAAACTAACTACATAAAAACAGTAAGATAAGAAACTGTAATTTAACACCCACAGAACCTCCTGCACATGTAAGGAGTGTTGTGTTAGCATGCTTTTTTATTATGCTCGTATCTTCACACTGCATGTAAATTTACCTGAAATGAGCGTGATCTAGAAACACAGTTAAGCAGTGAGCACAGTATGTTATTCTTCTTTTCTCTAGTCCCTCAATTAAACTACTTTTATTCGTGAGTCAGCCGGCTGTCCGAGCGATGTAAACAAACTGAAGATAGGACTCGTAAAACTCTGAAAACATCACAGACAGTGGGAATCCGGTGTTACACCCATTGTAGACAGTCATGACTCACAGTTATTTTCAGAGGATAAACTTGATTTCGATTATATTATTTTTGACACTTATATATAAGTGTCAAAAATCAATGTCTCCAAATGAAATATATGACGACCGCAGTAAAGACCTCCAAGTCCTATGTTCTACATCTTAAGCCATGTCCACCCCTAAAATAGTTGGCGATATTTTAAGGGGTCAAAAAAGGTTCATCAAGCCTGTTTTGTATGTGTAGAGAGAAGGTAGAGCACCACACACACACACACACAGAAAGACTCACCAGAGCTCCAAAGGCGATGATCTTGAGTACACACTCCATGGAGAAGAGGGACGTAAACACTATGTTCAGGTTGGCTAACACAGCTTCATAGGTAACAGAAGCTCCGTCATACTATACACACACACACACACACACACACACACACACACACACACACACACACACACACACACACACACACACACACACACACACACACACACACACACACAGATAGCGCACACATTCATAACAACAAAACCAGTGTACAAACACAGGACAGTGAAGATTTGTGTGTGCGTTAATGTAGACACACATACGGACACACACACACACACACACACACACACACACACACACACACACACACACAGAACGCGAGGGACAGAAAAGGGGGAGGAGATTGAAGACGTATAAAGACACACACAGTTGAACACACCCGGAGGAGAGTCACACATGTTCATTAAAATGTTTTTTTCACAACAGGAAATATTTGACAAAGCAACAAGTTCAGTTCACAGTAATGAGGTCAAGTTCTACCTTCATCATCAGTACGACGGTGTTGAGCGCGATCATCGCCATGATAGTATACTCAAATGGCGGCGACACCACAAACTCCCACATCTTGTACTGGAAGCTCAGCTTGTTCTGAGGCATGTGGCGCGTCAGAGGCCGGGCGTTGATGGCGAAGTCTATACAGGCTCTCTGCAGAGAACAACAAAAAAAAAATTTTCATTCTCGTCAATCCATCTATCTATCCTCCTTTTCAGCTGCAGCCGCTCCGTTTATCCTCCCTCACCTCGTTCTTCTCCAAACTGTACTCCTCCATCATCTTGTCCCCTTGCTCCTGGAAGGTGATGATGATGAGAGCCACGAATATGTTGACGAAGAAGAAGGGGAAGACCACGAAGTACACCACGTAAAAGATGGACATCTCCATCCGGTACCCCGGGCTCGGGCCCTGGTTCTCATAGGTCGCATCCACCGAATGCTTCAGCACCCTGGGGAGGGAGGAGACAAGGGGCGGGACAGGGGGGCGTGTTACAGGCCGCCATGAACCATCAACAACTTCAAATCTTTGCTTAAAGGTTTTATATGCGATTTTTAACACTTAAATATAATATAAATCAAGTATATCCTCTGAAAATAACTCTGAGTCATGACTGTCTACAATGGGTGTAACACCCGAGTCCCACTGTCTGTGATGCTTTCAGAGTTTTCCGAGTCCTATCTTGACTTTGTTTACATCACCGGGACGGCCGGTCGACTCATCCCCTCGCGTATAAAAGTTGTTTAATTGAGGGACTAGAGAAAAGAAGAATAACATACTGTACTCACTGCTTAACTGTGTTTCTAGATCACGCTCATTTCAGGTAAATTTACATGCAGTGTGAAGATACGAGCATAATAAAGATCGCTAGCATTAGCATGCTAACACAACAATGCAGCGCGAGTTGTTTTGGTTTCATGCTGGTGCTCAAGGGCGACATCTGCTGGATCAAAAAAATCGCATATAAAGCCTTTAAAAGACACCTATTTGCTCTGGCTTCTAAAACAATTTGAGCTTGACATTTTGAAATTGTATTCATGCTCCTATTTACTGTGTTTTTATTGTGCTTCATTCTACATGTTATTTTAGTTGTTTTTCTATTGTGTTTTTTTACGCTTGTACAGCACTTTGGTCAATCAAGGTTGTTTTAAATGTGCTATAGAAATAAAGATTGATTGATTGATGTGTGCTGCGTGTGAATGAGTGTGTTCACGGGGGACTCACTGCGGCCACCCCTCTCCGGTAGACACGGTGAAGAGGGTGAGAAGGGCCCAAGCCACGTTGTCGTAGTGGAAATCGTACTTCTTCCACTCCCGCTTCAGCGCCTTCACTTCGTTATCACGCTCGAATTCCAGATACTCGCCCCTGGAACACAAACATCACACGAACGGCTTCATGAGGAAAGGGAGAGTTGTCATCAGCATGAACAAAGTAGTGAACCCCCCTTCTACATTTTCCATTTTATTCATGGTACAAAATACTTTTTTAATTAATTTTGATGGGGCAGTATGTCATTAATTCTTTAACATATATATCTTCACAGAAAAATGGCCATTGACAAACAGTTATCGTATTTATCATGAAAGAAGCTAACACTGCTAACATGGCTAAACATGTTTACATGGCACCGCATATTTCTGTGTGTCTGAGTTAAAAACTGAAGATGCCATGAAAGAAGAAAAGAGAAGCGATGAAGCAAGCTTTATACACACAGACCTCGATATAAATAAGATAACCAGGACACCTTCAGGGTAAAAAAAAAAGAAGAAAAGCTGGGTGTTTCCTGACCTGCAATCGCGCTCAAACTCTTTGGACTCATCAGTGCAGTAAAAGAAGCGGCCCTTGAACAGCTGCACGGCCACCACGGCAAAGATGAACATGAAGAGTAAGTAGACGATCAGGATGTTGAGCACATTCTTTAGGGAATTCACCACGCAGTCAAACACAGCCTGAGGAGCGAGGAGGACAACAACAGAGGGAGACGTTGGTTATTCTACGACAGAAATACACTGGATCCAATCTGTGTGTCCGGTGGCATGACAAGACGTTTGAAAATAAACCTGCAGTGCGTCCAGATAAACACTGAACGTTGTGAGCTTTGCTTGTAATTTACTGCATTGACACACCTTGAGTTTTGGAAGACGTTTGATGGTCTTCAGAGGCCGTAACACTCTCAGTACTCGCAGAGACTTGATCGTGCTGATGTCTTTTCCTTTACTGCTCCCCCTGCATGTGGACACACACACAACGACACACACAAACAGACACACACACAGTCAGATAGAGTCAGCAGGTTTCGGGGAGATATGACAGGCTCAGTCTGCTCGATCCCAAAAGAAAAGAAAAAAAACGGTGAGCAGCCGTTTCTTGATGGTTGTTGTGTCCGAGTTAACTCAAGATGAGTAACTTCGTCTGGGTTAAATACAGAAAAACACATGCAGCATTGCTATCGTAGTATACTTTAGCCTTTTTTTTCTAAGTGTGAGGTTAGCATTGTTAGCTGCATGCTAAAGTAAGGTGGTACTTCACAGGAATAGCCGATGTCATTCCCGTCTGAATGCTATCTCATAAATACACTTACGTATTACTTTGCAATGTATTTCAATGCTTTAAAGAGATGTTTAAAGCCTTGGCTTGCACATGCCAAGCTAATGGTGAAATATATCCATGCTGCATTGAAACTTTGCTTTTCCATGCTGCAATATTTCTCCTTTTTAAAAGCAGCATTTTGTGTGATGGAGAACTCCATTCTACACAGAGGCATTTGCAGAGAGAGTTTAGTCTTGGTTGGCAGGGAGGAGACCTAAACAGCTCCGTGTGTCAGCAGCTGAAGCTTTGTGAGAGTGTTAAATGACCGGCTGTTAGCGAGGCAACAGCTTAGAAATGATTCCTGTTGTTTTTTAAAAGAGAACTCTTTTAATGGTGAAACATGGGTCACAATTTGGGTTCTGTCCCGGTGTGAATAAACGGGGGTAAAAGCCAAACTCTCTCCTGTTATGACTCAACCAGTTCAATTGCATCAACTCTGTAGTAAAACCTAGGGTAAGCTGGTTTCACAGCATTGTTCAAACCACATGGAAACTTGTCTTGTACGTCATGTTGGAAAAGACAAAAGGCATCTCATGACTGAAATGCGGAGCCAAACCTCCCTCGTTTAAGCAGTTTGATTCTTTGGTTTTCTAGGTGCATGTGTTGGACACGATCAGCCGACGAGTGCAAAGCCTCGACCTCGAGTGTAAAGACTAACATTAAGAAGAGTGTACAGCATATTCACACCTTGAATGTTTTTAAAGGTCGTCTTAATGATCTGGAGGCAGAAATATCTGACTGTAGATGTTTTTAGCTAACTCGTATTGCCCTTTTTGATCGCTTTGTGTTGCTGATGACTTATGATGAATGGTTCTTTTTGTGATTCCTGTATTTATGTGTTTTATGTCTGAAACCCTGTAACTGTGCTGCTGCCTGTCTTGGCCAGGACACTCTTCTAAAAGAGATTTTTAATCTCAATGAGACTTTTTCCTGGTTACATAAAGGTTAAATAATAATAATAAAAGACTGAAAGGCGCTGCACATCAACGTGTGAGTTTTGCATCGTTTATGTACTTGCAGCACGTTTCATGCTAGTGCTTTTGTTTTGTATTTTGCAGCACATTCAGTCATTACATCTGATGTTGCACTTGGTTTTGCTTTTGCATCCTTTCTGAATATGCGGCATGTTTTTCTCAATGTAAGTAGTTTCAGCTGTTGCTGAGGCTTTGCACTTGTGGGCCACCGCAGTTGGACGAAAGTAAACCTTTTTTTAAATCGGTTGCAGGAAAAACTACACTACACTACCTAATGTGATTTATAGGAAACAGTATGAGTTAACTAAAAAAAGGATAGTTCCTTCATGTTCACTTAAAAAAACCTCCCAAACAGTTCACTTTACATAATAAACAAACAAATAAACGTCATAAACTTCCTATTCACTCTCTTTTCTCTGAAAGTCTAACATCTCAAGAATAAATATCAGGGTGCAGAGACAAAGGTCAAACGTCTCTCAAAGTGCTCCTCAGGGCAGAAGGCAGCTGTGTGTGTATAAGTGCTTCTGTCTTCCAGATGTTAGACCAGATGTTAGACTGCTGGTGGTAGTGTGTGTGTGTGTGTGTGTGTTTGTGTGTGTCTCGACTTCATGGAAGTTCATGTACGGGGGTGTGTGTTGCATCTATGAACACACTCACTATGCCGATGTTATTTTTTCTTACATTGAGCTGTGATTAGTGGTGAAAAGGAAAAACAGGTATCTCTGTGTTTCCTCTGCAGCTAAACCTGAGGGTTCGGCTGTGTTTGAGTCCGAGCTGTTCCATGGTGAACAATGAACAACAGGGAAGAATAGACAAGTACAGAAGTCAACTGTGAGGACGGACGGATGAAGAAGGAAGGACACGAGTGTGATCAGAAGAAAACAGGCGCTGAGGGGTGCAGAGGGAGAAAAATGAGGAGGAGGAAGAAGAGTGAGAACTTTACCCGCCGCCGCTGTTGGTGGTGGTCCAAACGGGGATATGAGAAAAGGGGTGAGAGACAGCGAGGGAGAGAGAGAGAGAGAGAGAGAGAGAGACAAAAAAGACAAAGGGTGGGAAAAGGAAACAGAATGGGACACGGAAAAAGGAAAGGATTTCGAGGGAAAAGGCACCCATATGAGAAAGAGAGAGAAAGAGAAAGGGAAGGCCTCCTAACCAAAGATCTTGTTAAATCTAACACACATGCACATTATCGCACACTTTAAATCTGGACAAAATGCCTGACGAGAGCAGCATGTACTTTTTTTTTAAATAAAAGTAACTGATGTGTGAACTCTTCTTCAGAGACGGGGACAAACTGAGCTCAGATGAGGACTTCTCCAAATGATGTCACCATATGAACTCCTTCAATGGAAGCATGCTTCAACAACAGTAAATAAACTGTCATTTTATTTCCCTTTAAGTTAAACCTAAGTGAGCCGGTGTGTCTCTGCATCAGGAGCCCGTCTGGACTTTAAACTCTGTGCGGCTTCAGAAATGTGCAGGACACCAGCAGCCCTTCAGACCAGACTAATTGGATTAAAGGAGCGATAATCATCTCCAATGAGACTGCTGAGCCGATCTGGATTTCTGTTTGATTTCCACATATTGAATTAAGGCACAATCTAGATGTGTGGGAATCTTTTTTTTTTATACTGGTCCCTTATGCCATTATTGTTGTTAACCTCTATTGCAGTTAAATACGATGTTTCTAGTTTAAATAACTTCATCTCTTTTAAGGTTGTATTCAAGTTCACATCATAGACTTTATGAAGAAAGGACAGCGGAATAACTTGAAATGGACTGGAATAACTTGTCCAGTCATTTTACCTCACTTTGAAAATGAACGACTGCTTATTATTATATGAGTTAAAATCTGCGAGTGAACTCCAGTGACAGATTGAGACACTTGAGGGTCGAGCCACAGGTCACAGAGACGTTAGAGGACACAGAGTTAGGGAGAGAAGCACACTGATATAAACATTGAGACACAAACAGACAGGTTAATGTGAAACACAAAGGCAACTTTGAAATCGAGGGGGTTTAAAAAGTGTTAAGAGGAAAAACACACAAACAAAAATGATTCAGAGAGAAACAAAGTCCCGCCGTGTAAAAGTGGCACCTCCACTAGAACCCTGGAGCACCTGCAAACATTTTATTTTCTCTCTATAGGACCAAGGAATTACTCATCTTCATTCTGGCATTTCACCTGCTGCTCTGTAAAGTGGCAGTAGGTGTTAACATTTTTTTTTTAAATGTCAGGTGTTTCTGCGTTTTACTTTTGTCTCTATCAAGCACGTAATGGAGACATTAAACCTCCGCTGAAGACGCAGAGAAGAGAGCTCCAAATGAGAAGCTGCAGAGAAATCTTAACCTTAATTTACCATCGTATGGTGCAGCTTTTCTTATGATCATATGTGCTTCAAACTACAGCATTAAAGCAAGCCTCCAAATTTTTAAAACTAAATTCTTTTTTTTTAACATTTATTTAACCCATAGTAACTCTGCAAAGAGACTGATCTGAATGAGTTAAATAAATGCATATTTATATATATATATATTCTCCTACATGTAAAAGAAGTATCTGCCTCTCTTCCCCTTTACGTGGGGCATGTCGGCACGGGAACGTCTGCTACCTGAAAATACTAATTTCATTTATAAGTCATGAAAAAGGATCAAGCACAATCTCATATTTCTGCAGATCACGTGCATGAAGTTGTCGGAGGTTACAGAGTTATCATAATAAACGTATTGCACCCTTATGGCAATAACACATGACATTTTACGTTTCTTCATTTTATTTTCTTCCTCTACCATGCAAAAAGCATGAAAGCAGACTCACGTTTCATGCTTTGTATCCCGTTAACGGGCAAAAAAAATAAAAATAACTAAGCCCAGTTATTCAGGTTCCACTGTTCTGCATCCTCACAGTCATGCAGATTAAGAGTTTATAGTACCTGCTTGGCCGCGGAGGAGGGTGTGGAGTTTTTTTTTTTTGTGAGCCAGCTCAGGATGACCTGGACTGGGTCTTTAACTCTAGAACGCCCTGGGCACTAAAGGGTTACAGGTGCAAAGGGTGGTCCTCACCTCTCACAGGGGGGAGGGAGCGGTGGGGAGGAAGGGGGATGCTTGGATACAATTTTTTTTTTTTTTTAACGTCTTGGAGCATTGGGGGTTGGTGGAGGTGCTTAGAAATGGCAGGACTGAGTGAGAATAGTTAGACGAGAGAGAGAGAGAAGGCAGAATAAATGGCCAACTGTAGATGATTGACCATCTGTAAGCGAAGGTAGGAAACGGAGAGACAGAATGAAAGAGAGCAGAAGTCAGAGAGAGAGAGAGGAAATAAGACAGAAAGGGCCTGGATTGGGCCAGAAGCAGGAAATGCTATACTCCAAGGTGCCAGTGAGGCAGAAGATGGGCAGGAGAGAAGGAGACACAAGAAGGAGGGAGGAGAAGGAGAGGACAGAGTGAGGAGGCAGGAGGGAGGACTTACGTGAAGGCGAAGGCCACCAGAGCACCACTAACCACTATAAAGTCAAGGATGTTCCACAAGTCCCGGAAATAAGAGCCCTGGTGCAAGACCAACCCCAGATCCACCATCTGACGGAGAGAAAGGAGAACATGGTTATGAAAAGAGGAGGAATTTAAAAAGGCATGTGGCTTGAAGTGTGCAATGACAGGTTTGTGATCCTCTTTCGGGGCGAGGTTTTCTCCGTACTCCTGTAAGAGGTTGTTGATGTGTGATGCTGCACGTTGCCTTACCTTAATGAGCATCTCAAAAGTGAACACTCCCGTGAACACGTAGTCGAAATAACGCAGGACCTGCAGCAGAGGAAGAAGGGCACGATTAGAGGCTGGCAACAGGATGTATTTTACGATCACAACGGAGAGATACTAAAAAGAGTGTGTTCAGACTTTGAATTTGAATTTCTGTGGACTTTCTCACATTGTTACGAGGGGATTCAGGCCACACGGGGTCCTCAGCAGCCAGGGCGATACTGCTCATAGCAATGACCAGCAGGATGCACATCTCAAAGTAACGCAGGGTGCAGATGTAGTGACACGCCCGCCGAAACCTGTGAGCAGAAAAAGACAAATCTGCATGTGTGAGTGTGTGCACATGCCAGTGGTATAACTTTATGTAGATCTATTCTCCTTCAACCACAAAAAAAAACAAGACAAATTCTGGGTGTAGTCCTGCGTGGATTCATTTAATGTAGGTGAGTGCGTCCCCCCCCCCCCCCCCCCCCACACTAACGGGTTGGTGGTGGACAGGATGAACATGGAGCTGAAGGGAGGCATGGGCCTGGGTCCTCCTTCTCCTCCCTTCTCATCGTCATCGTCGTCCTTATCCTCCTTCGCTGGCAGAGGCTCCGTGTTGGCATTCTTATTAACTGGATTAAAGAGGGACAGAAAAAAGTTTTAAAAAATCCTCTGAATTTCAAAGATGAGGGTCTTATAAAGCATCCACAAAAATCAGCTCGCAAATTAATAAGCATTCATAATTTTCATAAATACCACAGAAAAAATAGCAAGTTTTGCTGTCTTCAACATTTCTCCATACTGTGAGTCAAGCATACTTTGATTGACATGTTACTAGCTCCGCCCCCCAAAACAAAGGCACATGTGACAATCACTGTAGTGCGGCTTTGTATGTTTCAGTCGTCTGAGTCAGCTTCAAAGAAAGAAGCAAGGCCATGGAAGCAAAAAATGTGCGAGTTACAAAATGCTTTGTGGTACTCGGCAGTTAGCATACATGTGCAACATTAGCTGAGATGCTTCTTTGTTCTTCTCTGTGGTGTTACCAAGTGCCATAAAATTACAGAGTTAAAACTTCCCACCACCACCTGCAAAAAAAGAGTTCAGAAATGGCCAAAACTTTTCTCCTGAAGCCGAAAAAAAGACACAGGCAGGGGCGAATTAAAACAACAATCTGCCCCTGGGTAGCGCCCCTCTGGAAATCTGAAAACTTCTGCGGAGGAGGACACCAACGGAGAGGCTAAATTAGAACGAGATCTAACCTGATTTTTTGCTTATTCAAGTACTGCCCTGGGCCCTCTACAGATCTTAGGCCACTGGTCAACATTATTTCAAAGTTTGGACTTCAATTATGAACATTTTAAGACATTTTAAACTATGTTCATAAAATACAGTATTACAAGTTAAATGTGAGTTTCCACTGGCTTGGAGAAAAGTTAAAGGAAGAAGAAATAATCTTACCCTGCAGTTTGGCATTTGTAGATGGAAATATTGGCATGTCTACAGCGGTGTAGTCGGGGTGGGGCAGCCTGATGACGCTGTTGGCACGGTGATGCGCGATGCTGCCGTAGCTGTCTAAAGTGACCAAACTGCCATGAGTGGCGCTGTTAGCGAGGTGGAGGGCCGACCCAAAGCCTGCAGGGGCCGCGGTGTGGTTGGGGACAGGAGGGTAACCTTCACCGGGCGGGGTCGAGCCGGAGACCAGCTTGGTGTTCATGAGGTTGTCCATGTCCTCGCTGTACTGGCTGTCCTGCCGGGTGAGGCTCTTTTGGATGGGTCGAGTGGTTGAGAGGTTAGGAACACTGCAGTCCCTGAAAAACAGAAGAAGAGAGTAAAGTGATCGGATGAAATCAAAATGGAATTTGTGCAGCCTCATGAGGATGAGCCTCATTCCATAAACTCACTTCCTCCTGTGTGAGCACATCCTCTTCCCCTCGCCCTCTGTTTGGTTGCCATGGCGGCTTCTTCTTG